TTATACAATAAATAGTTATACATAGTTATACAATAAATAGTTATACAAATAAATAGCTATAAGAGAAGTTAGACCAAAGACACACGAGAGCAAAAGAGGTCCTGAGAACTAGATGAAAGACTTCAGCCCAACCAAGAGAAGAGGGAATGATCTCACCAAGAGGAATCTGTTCTTAATAGCTTGTAGGGTTCTATGCACTGGAAGTCAAGGGATGTGATATGGTGGGGAAGGGGGATGGAAGTGGGGGTGGGGACAACGTCCCATGCATGTGACCATTCAAAAGTCCACACCTCATCTCTCTGACTTACCTCTTTCAAATCTTTCTCTGAAGTAAGTGCCACCTCCACTGTCCCAGGTCACTGTCAACATCAGGGGCAGCCAAAGTCTCTCAGAAGGTCAGGAGACACATCTCCTGCACATATAGTACAGAATGCAGCATCTCAGGGCACTGCCCAGGAAATGTTACATCTCCTTAGTCCCTGCTCTCCTTTTCCTTACAGGAGGTCAAGGATTAACAAGCCAGCATCAAATACTGGAGTGTTGAGAGTCCAGATCAGGTGGATTCTCTGCCATCCATGAGGAACGTGGTTTATTCTAGAAATACTGACAGATTTCTTCTATTTTCCATCTGTTGTCTTCCTTCTCGTTTCACCTTTAAATGGTCTGGCTTAAGTATCATGCCAAGCTTTCTGCAAACTTATTTCCCTCTTCACCACTTCTTGTAGCTTTCTGCTTTACACAGAGATAAAAATGGCTGCCTTTGGGTGGTCTCCCAAAGTGTCCTCCTGAGTGTCCATACTGGCTCTGTGTCCTCTCCCACTTCAGGCCTGGGACCCACTTTCCTTTCATCTAGCTTCTCCGATAGATAGAGCCAATTCTATTTAAGCTGATACCAGTATGTTCCCTGGTTCCAGGGGCATTTTCACAAGGGTATTTTCATGTAGAAGAAAAGGCTTAATTACACATGTAAACCAACTGTCTTTTAGTGAGATTTTAAACTTTCATAACCTCAGAAGTATAAATGCTACAAACTTACAAAAAACAAGTTGAAAGATTATCTAAAACTTTAAGTATTCGTAGATTTCTTTATATATACATATATATTTTGGGGAGGGTAGGGCAATCAGGGTTAAGTGACTTGCCCAAGGTCACACAGCTAGTAAGTGTCAAGTGTCTGAGACCAGATTTCAACCCAGGTCCTCCTGACTCCAAGGCCAGAGCTCTATCCACTGCGCCATCTAGCTGCCCCTAGATTTCTTATTAAAATGCAACACCACCACTGCCTTGTGCTGGGCATGGCAATAGTTGATCTCTGAACTTAGTAAAAACTTTCATCAGCTGCTGCTCAGTGACTCAAAGGATTTTATTTGGAAAATACTATACTTAAGGTCATCCAAAGAGTGATGCATACGTGACAGTTTTGATGTGATCCCACAGGAAAAGGTCTAATGGAGGTAGATCAGGTGATGTTGGTGTACACTCTTAGGGGACCTTTTCTTCTAATCCACCAATCTAAGAGAGTGTCATGCAGAAACTGTCTCACATACAATGCATAATGACAATGTTCAGCCTTGTCAAAATTAAAAATTGGTTATTCAAAATTGACAGAATTAAATAAGTGTAAAAGAAATTTAAATAATGAAACTTTCAAATGATGCTTTTTGTAGGTTTGTAGCATATATACTTCTGAAGTTATTAAAGTTTGAAATTGCATTAAGAGTTTTGGGACATCCTATACAAGGAATGAAACTCTGGGGTGGGGGTGGTAATTTTGAGCATAATAACAGGCAGTGGGAGAGATATTTGAGGTCAGGAAGAGGACCTTCTAAATGCAACACACATCACAGCACACAAGTGGTTCCTAACTGTCTAGGTGTAAGACTAGCCCACATGTATCAGGCTTTTAAATAGAAGCATAGAACTGGAAAAGACATTGGAGGTAATTTCCTCCAACCTGTCATTTGACAGATGAGACAAACTGAGGTCCAAAAAATGATTTGTTCGAGATTCCACAGCAAATTAGCAGTAGATCCGGAGCTAGGTCTCCCCTGGTTAAATTCCTTGCACCATCTCTCTGGGCTTCAATTTACTCATTGTGAAATGAGAATTACAATCCCTGGGATTTGGTTCTTGGTTTGGACTTGGTGGGGGACAGCAGAAGAGGGGAGGAAGAATGTCCAATTAACTCACATGTTTTCCAACCCCTATGCACCTCACATTGCTATCTATTGTGAGGATCAAACAAAATGGTGGGTATGACAGATATGAAGCAAAGCATCATATCCATGGAAAACATTGTTAGAGCTCTCCTTCCCAGAAGGTTGGCCATGAAGTAATGAATTTTTCAAGACATGACAAGGAATGAGACCTTGGGAAAGGGAAGAGAATAAGCATTTATTAAGCACCTACTACATACTAAGTGCTGTACTAAGAGCACTTACAAACATCTCCTTTGATCCTCACAAAATCTTGGGAGGTAGGTGCTGTTATTATCCCTATTTTACAGTTGAGGAAACTGAGGCAGGCAGAAGTTAAGTGACCTGTCCAGGGTCACACAGCTAGTATATGAGGGTGGATTTGACTGAGACAAGGAGGAGGAGGAGGAAGAGGAGAAATAAGATTTATATAGAATGTAATGTGTGCCAGGCACTGTGCTAAGCACTTTACAATTATTATCTCACTAGATTCTCACAATGCTAGGAGGTAGGTGCTATTATTATCCCCATTTTATAACTCAGCAAACTGAGGCAGACAGAGGTTAAGGACCACGCTAAATTTGACTTCAGGTCTTCCTGACTCCAGACCCAGCATGAGGAAGTTGTGATCTGTGCAGTTAGAGGAGGTACCCAAACAAGTGAAATTGGGGACTCCCAGTACTGCTGTAATTCCATTTGGACTCAAACGGCCTGGATTCTAAAACTGGTTCTGCCACTTAACCACCTTGGGCAGGTCACTGAACTGCTTTTGGCCTCAGTTTTCCCCTAAGTAAAAAGGTGTTAATGACACCTCTTTAATAACTAGTATATGGGTTATTGTGAGAACCAAATGAAAAAGTGGGTGCATGCTGCTTTGTGGAATTTATCACTGGATCTTAAGCTGGAAAGGGACCCCAGACATCATCTACTCCAGGGCTTCTTCATCTGGAGACCTCTGTGGGGGATGGGGGGAAAAACTCACACTTACTTAACCTCACCTGGCCTCAGTTTCCTCATTTTGATTTTCACTAACCTTTGATTTCCTAAAGCCCCTACACTACGTGCCAGTAGCTGTACTCAGAGCAAAAGACAATCTCTGGGATAGCAGAGTCTTTCAACGATGTTTTTATTCGTTCAAAAACAACTTTCTGAGAAGGAGGCCCGGATGCTTCGCCAGATTGCCAAAGGGGTCTACGACACTCAAAAAGGATACCAACCCTCTCTCACCCAACCTCCCACCAAGCAGCCAAGGCAGGATTCCAGTCTGAGTCCTCTGACTCAGGGTCCAAAGTACTTTTTACGATTCCCAACATCCTTTGGTCAAGTTCTTTCCTCTTTCTGGGCCTCAGTTTCCTCCCTTGTAAAAGGAGGTGGGTTTGTTTAGACGAGTCACGAAGTGTCTTCCATTCTGAAAAGGAAACTTAATTTTAATCCAGTTTGCTCTCACCTTCCTTCGCCCCAGGTGCAGCCCAGACCCCGCCTACAACAGGACAAGTAAAATCGACCCCTCCCGCGGCACAGGCTTTCATCGCCACTTGCGGTTCCGAGGGCTTTGTGACAACCTGTCTCCGAGGAGAGACGGAAGAATGGTTGCCCTGGCAACGTAAACAAAGTCAAAGAATACGGTCTCCGCCAAGTTCGCTTCGTTTTAAAGGGTGTCGAGTGCGCGCTCTCCTTGTCTTTCTTGCCGCAGCTGCTTCTGCAAACCCCAAATAGTTGACGCTGTGCAAGGGCAGTCATTGTACCCCGGAGCTGGTGGGTGAGTCCGGGCGTGGGAAGAGGCCAGACATCCTCTATTTCTTTCAGGAAAAAAAAATTCCAAAGGCAGGGAAGAGAGAAGCAGCGGTCTATTTGGAAAGAGCGCTGGGCTGGGAATCCAAGAAAAAGTGGACCTGAGTTCCAGATCGGCTTTGTCTCAGTCCAGGGCTGTGTGATTTTCTACAAATCGGCGCCTTTCTTGAACTCTAGCTTCCTACTCTGTCCCACCCTCCACCACCACCACCACCCCTCCCAAACCACCGGGGGTTTCTATTGAAAAGACAACTAAAGGTCCTTTTCGTTTCCGACGATATATATTCCCTATAGAAACCCCTGGGACGAGAACAAAGGAGTGATTGCACAAAGTAGTCAAAAGCTGGGGTGGACTTAGATGTAATGCAGGTCATTTGAAAGTGGGGTTTGGCTTTGGCGGGAGAGGGCAGAAGAGGGGAGGAAGACCGTCCAGTGAAACTGTAGGTTTCCCAACCGCAGGCCTGTCGCAGATTTTGAGAAGGCAGGGATGCCATCAGGCAGGACTTGGAGCCTCAGTCTTTCCCTTGCTGGGCAGCAGCCCTCCTCCGTCCTCCATGGCATGCTGTGCTCCGCAGTCTTTTAGCACATAGCAGAGACTTCCCGGCATGATCACTGCCATTTCCAGATATCTCCAGCCAGATACTTATTCAATTCAATTCAGCCCATGACATCTAGTCCAAGTCTTTCATTTTACAGATGAGAAAACTGAGGCCAGGTGAGGTTAAGTAAGTGACCAGAGGTAGAACAACTGTGGCAGAGATTGGAACCTCTCTGCCCTTTGTCTCCAGCTCCAGTACGCTTACCTTTGAAGTATTCCCTTTCTTCCTTCTACCGGCTAAGTGTAAGGACAGTCTCTTCCAAAGGTTCATAGATTTAGGGTTCAAGGATACCTTGAGAAGCACAGAGTCTAGCCCTCACATTTGACAAAGGAAAGAGGGTGAGAGAGACTTAAGTGACTTGATCAGGGTCATCCAGCTTATTAAGTACCTGAAGCAACATTTAGACACATTTCTTCCTGCCTCCACACCTGGTGGTCTATGTTCTGTGCCATGTAGTTGCCTACATGTCACCAGGGCTCCCAACACAGATATTTCCAACCAGTTATAATAGTGTGATAAGGATTGACTGCCATCGTGGAAAGAACACTAGAATGGGTTGGAGCTCCAGCTCTGCTACTTATTAACCCAGCCAGTCTTGTCCCCTCTCTGGCACTCACTTTCCTTTCCTGTCAGAAGACAAGATTAGACCAGATAATCTTCCAGTCTCTTCTAGATCTGTCATCCTAATAGGTAAATAAGTACCTCCATGAGGTTTTCCTAGAACTCCCAACTGGAAATGATCCTTTTGGCTTCCAATCTTGAAAGGCATTGTGCTATCATGTACTTATGTTCTATTTGGTATTATAGTTATTAGGGTCCATGTCTTATTTCCCCAATAGACTGTAAACTCCTTGATGGTGAGGACCGAGACATTTGTTATTCTTTTTGTGTGTCTCTCAGCTCCCACCACAGCTCCTAGTCTAGAGTTGTTGGTGATTAATAAAACGCACATTGATGCAGAGGGAAAACACTAGGCTTGGATTCTGATGCCCTGGATTTGATTTTTAGACCTGGAGTTAGGAGAGACTCAGCCCTGGTATATATTAGCTGTGTGAGCCTTGGGCAAGTTACTAAGGATCATCTTCTCCATCTGTAAAATGGGGGAGAGGTCAGATAATAATACTTATGCTTCCTAACTTGCAGAGTTATGTAGTGAGCATTTTGTAAATCTAAAAGTGATAATAGAAATGTGATTTGTTATAATTACTCCAATTCTGCTGTCAACTACTCAAGAGGCCTTGAGCAAATCTCTTAAGTTCTATGGGCCTCAGTTTCCCCATTTGTAAAATAAAGAGGGGATGGGGCAGATAACTTCTCTTTTTTTGTTTTTTTGGTAGGTCAGAATGATGGTTGAAGTATGGCACTTTTTTTTTTTGGTGAGGCAATTGGGGTTAAATGACTTGCCCAGGGTCACACAGCTAGTAAATGTCAAGTGTCTGATGTGAGACTGGATTTGAACTCAGGGCCGGTGCTCTATCCATTGCACCACTTACCTGCCCCCTGGAGTAGATAACTTCTAAGGAGTCCTTTCTACATCTAACTGCTATGAACTGTAATAATAATTCCCGGCATTCATGTAGCATTTTAAAATTCTCAAAGCCCTTGACATAGATGCTCATTCAATCCTCACAACAATCCTATGAGGTAGGTACATAGTGTCTGACATATTTAATTAATAGATATTTCATGAATAATGTAATAATAATGATTATAATAATTTAGTAATATAATGAATAAATTAGTCATTCAATATTGATCCTTTTAATAAATTATAATTTAATAATGAGCATAATAATTTGATGATGAAATTAATAATTAAATTGTGAATAAATATAATTATTTAATATCAATAGGTATTTAATAAATTTTGTTGATTGACTAGTACTAATATCAATAGCATTCTTCCCTTACAAGCATCATGCCATTTAACATGGCTAGACTTCTAAGCGTTCTCTTCAGGTTTTGGCCAAACTTGGATGTGAGTGGGGATTCAGAACTGGAAGCTACCTTAGACACCACCTGGTCCAACTTTGTGATTTTATAGAGAAGAAAATGGAGTCCTCGAGAGAGGGAGTGACTTTCTTGAGCTCACAAAAAAAATAATAAATGGCTCTTCTGGGAAGTGAGCCCAGAGCCTTTGAGGCCCAGTCCAATGTCTTTTCCATTTCACCATACTGCATGGAGGTAAGGAGTACCCTCGCCTCTGCCAATACCCTGATCCCTGGGGTGTCTTTTCTTTCTCCAGGGTCTTCAGCAGCTGGAATTCCATACTGGAATTCATAGAAGGACTGATACATCCATAGAAGGACTGATACATCCATAGAAGGACTGATACATCATTAGGTGATCTCTTGGGGGAAGAGTTGTTAGCAATCTCATTACTTCAAAATGTCCAGGTTGCCATCTACAGCCCAGAAGACATTGACCAATAATGGTAGGACTTCAAGCAGTTATTTAAGCATTCAATTCCTCCAACAATATTTTTAACTTAGAATTTATAGTAGCAACTAGTGGTGAGTCATTCTAGTGCTGAACTTCACAGCTGGACCCAGAGGGTTCACAAAGAAATTGTCCTGGAGGCTAGAAACATGGAGCTCTAGACCATGGCTAAAAAGTCAACTAGACAAGAGGGTTTTCAAGGACCACAGAAGTCAGTCTCTGAGTTTCAATTCTCCCATCTGTAGAGTCGGTTTAAAAATTCTCAACCAAATAAGACTGTGGGATTGCTCTGCGGAAAGGGAGAATGGCTTCTGACCAGCCTACCTCACAGACCAGTTGCTAAAGACTGAGGAAAAGAATGGATTCAAATAAGTAACAACACCTCACAAATAGCGATGCTATGTATCCACTAGATCGGATTGCTTACCATCTCAGAGAGAGGGAAGGGGCAGGGAGGGGAGGGGAGGGGAGGGATAGAATTTGGAACTCAAAACATTTTTTAGTGTAACTAAATTGTTTTAACATGGAATTAGGGAAAAATAACATATGTTAAAAATAGCGGTGTTAGATACATCATGGCGTTACAATAGAATTTGGAACTCAAAACTTTGTAAAATGTTAACAGATTGTTTTAACATGGAGTTGGGGAAAAATACAATGTCATATAAAAAACTAGTGATGCTAGATACGTCATGATGTTCCATCTTTGTCTCTGTGAAAGAACCACATAAGTCTGTCTACAGCAGTCCTTTACCTGTGGCCTTCAAATGTTCAACTCAGTCCACAGTCAAAGAGGATGCCTCAGGTAATAATACTTGTTGAATGGTGGTCTTTGAGGTAAAAGCTTTAATATTTGTAGGCAGCAAGAGATTGGGGTTTTTTCCCCCTACTTTTCTTTTTTAACACAGATGAGGTGGAAAACCCTTTCTACATGTCCCCAGACACGGATTTCTTCTTGCTTCGAGACAGACAGAAAGAAAAGCATCGGTTGGTAAGTGATGGGCCTGGGCTGGGGAGATTCCCTATCTGACTACAAAACAAACAAACAAAAACACTTTGCAATTATTCCTGTTTTCCACATCCCACTAGAATGTATGGATCAAGCCTGTCTTTCTCTGTTTCCCCATAGTGTGATAATTGTTCCCATGGATAGCTTGAATAATCATCAACCTGTATTGCTGAAGACCTGTATGATTGATTAGCTCAATTCCCTGCCTCCAGCTAACACTGGTCCATCTTTCACATGCTACCATAGTAATCTTACCAAAGCATAGCTTTTATCATTATCATTCCCCTTCTCAAGAACTTTTGATGGTTCCTCAGTGCCTATGACATCAAATCCAAATTCCTGTTCTGGGCCCTCCAGAACCTGCCTCTACCCATCCTATTCAGTTTTATCTCCTGTGGTTCCCCTGCATGAAGTATTACCCTTATGGTTTACTTTCCATCCCACAAATATACCATGCTCATTCCTTTCTCCCTACATTTGCATATGCTATGTTCCACCCATAGGATGTCCTCTCCTGTCCTCTCGCAAATCCCAACCCATCCTTCCAGGTCCAACTCCAAAGTTACTTCCTCCATTAAGGCTACTCACATTGCCCCAATCTGTAGCCAAATCTTCCAGTCTGAAATCATTGATATCATTTCTCCATTGTGCTAAAAGTCAGGAGGGAGAAAGTCTAGGCTAGCTGCAGATATTGGAATTAGTTCCAGCCAATCTGCATTTCTCTATAAATACGAGGTGTCTCCAAAGTCTTAGTGTGGCTTTCAACGTTAAATGTGGGATTTGCTATTTTTCCATGTAAGTGAGCCCTCAGATAAACTGTAAGCTCCTCAAGGGCAGAGACTGTGGCTACTTCTCCTCCTGTGTGACTCGAAAACCTGAGCACAAGGCTGCTCACCCTGGGATGGTTCAGTAAAGACAGAGATTTTTTGGATTGGATTACCAGATCACACCAGCGAGGTATAGTCAAGGAAAAGAATCTACATTTCCTTCCCAAGTGCACATTTTCGAGTTTTTTGGTTAACATTTAAGCCCTTTAGGTAAAAGCAGATGTTAGCCAGTCATTAAATATGATCCATAACCCATAGTTGCTCTCTTCCGTCTGTCTCCATGTTTCTTTAACTTTGTTTTGTCGCTGTCCCTGTTTCTCTTCAGAGGTCTTTCCTCTATGCCTTGACATAGTGTTTTTGTGTTTCTGCCTGTCATGTTCACATTTACACACACACACACACACACACACACACACACACGTTCTCCCCAGTTCCACCACCACATGTTCCATCTAACACCTAGTAGTCACAAAGCCAATAATTAAGAAGGGAATACTCACATGACCCCATGGTCCAGGTTGATGGCTAGCACCCTATAGCCTGCAGCATCATCCTGTCCACATTGAGCTCATCTTTGGATGATTGGAGGGGAGGGTGGGGAGCAGAGAAGGGCAGATGGGGCATCTACTCTAACCAACCTGTTTCCTCCAGGAAAGGGAGGCAAAGAAAACCATGAGAGTCTATGAGAAGATGACCTATTCCTCAAAAATAGCTGCCAAGTGCACTAACATCCGCAGGCAGCTCCAGATGGAAGACCACATGGAGGACCAGGCTTTGCAAGCTGAGGCCCAGCGCCTCCGAGACCTTCGAGAGATTGCCTCCTGGAAAATCACCGTCACCAAAGGTACGCTCACCACTCAATCCAGATACCCCAAGCCAGTCTTCCATGGCTGGGTAAAGTGGGGTTCTGGAAATCACCTCATTTCTCTAAGACTTAGTCTTCTAAATGGAGGCAGCCTGGCAAGTGTGTTCTGCAAAAAGTATGCAATTTAAAACTGGAAAATCTGACTCTGCCATATCATCTCTCTGAGCCTCAGTTTCCTCATCTATAAAGTGGGACAACAATGATCTATCCATCCATTATGGGACTTAGATTCACAAAAGAATCAGGAAGGCCAGTGATATGTAAAGCAACAAGCCTTTATTATGGCACAATTTAGACCACATATAGAAGCCTGAAAGCCCAAAATGAAATGCCCAGGGGTGGATAAAATAAAGGAAGGCTACACAGCCAAGGAGGCGGCAGGAAGGGGTGTGCTGGTTAGTGTTTAACAATCAGCTCCCAGAAAAACAAAAAAAAACAAATCTGTAGGCAGGACATACTTTTAAGTTAATCTGTATCATCAATACTTTAAGTCTAGACAATCAAAAAGCAATAAATGAAGCCCTGGTTCATGGCATTTGCCCATTTCCAAGGTAGAAAAACGTTAAAATTTAACCATCAGCTATGAGCCAGTTCAGGCTGGCTCCAGCCTACCTCTAGGTGCTGTGGTCTTTGGGACATAGTAGGGAAGAAAAGGAGAGGTCAGTGATGTCCTCATAGAGTAGTGCCCTAGGACTTGGAACATCAATCCTTCTAGTCAATGGGAGGGTGGTTATAGATCTGAAAGAGAGAAGAGCATGTTCACATCAAAGCACATTTGATTGGCTTCCCATTTCTGATGTCATAGGCAGGGAGACCTTGGTTTTGGCTAGAAGAGACCTAGTTGAATCAAATAAGAAAGCAATCATGTGGTATAGAAAATTCTGGAAAAGGGCAAAGTAAAAGGAACTTGGGTTCGAGAAAGAGGCATGTCCAGAGTAGAGACAGACTGCCTGTTGAATTCATAAGCCCTAGAAGTGATGAGGGATGAGTTTTATAAACTTTACAGCTTTATAGAAATATGAGTCATTATTATTGTTAAGGAATTCATTAATACCAGTTAAAATTTTGGTCCCTTCTAACTCTAAAATTTATGATTTATTTAATTAAATTTAATGGTCACGACCATGAGTCCTTGCAAAATCCAAAAATGTCTTCTGAATCATCAAAGAAAAGGTCTATCCTGTTCATATGAAAACCTTAGTATTTATTCATGTTGTTATACTTCCATGAAAACTGACAATTCAGTATTGATGTCTATATACATATCAATCTGAAAAAGGTGACCATTACTGATTGAAAAGTAACATAGTTTATTTTCTATAGTTTTAGAAAGGTTAGGAAGCAGAAATAAAACAAGAGAAAGAAATTAAAAGCTTAAAGATAGGCAAAGAGCAGATAAAACCATCCCTATTTGCTGATGGCTAGGGCAGCTAGGTAGTGCAGCGGACAAAGTACTGGCCCTGGAGTCGGAAGGACCTGAGTTCAAATGTGACCTCAGAATCCTACTAGCTGTGTAACCCTGGGCAAGTCACCTAACCCTGACTGGCTCACCAAAAAGAAAAAAAAAGTCTTAGGGAATCAGCAAACATACCAATCAAGACAATTAGTACCTTTAGGAAATTTGCAGGCTACAAAATAAACCATAAAAAATCAACAGCATTTCTATATAATAACAAGGAGAAGGGGAGGAGCATAAACATTTATTAAGTACCAACTATGGGCCAGGCACTGTGCTAAGTGATTTACAAATACTCTCTCATTTGATTTTCAGAACAGTCCTGTGAGGCAGGAGCTATTTCCCAAACAACAAATTTAAAAGAGAATAATAAAAAAGTGGCAGCTAGGTGGCACAGCGGAGAGAGCACCAGCCGTAGAGTCAGGAGGACCTGAGTTCAAATCCGGCCTCAGACACATAATACTTACTAGCTGTGTGACCCTGGGCAAGTCACTTAACCCCAATGCCTCGCCAAAATAATAATAATAATAAAGGAGAATAATAAAAAAGGGAAATTGCATTCAAAATAACTACAAAATGCATAAAATGCTTGAGGCTGAATCTGCAAAAACACACAAAACACTTACATAGATTCAATTCAAAAGAGCTCCTTACAGAAAAAACAGCCAGAATAAATAACTGGAAGAATATTCAGTGCTCATGATTAGACTGTGCCAAAATAACAAAAAATGGCAATGTTACCAAAGTTAATTTGCAGTTTTAATACTGTACTAATAAAACGCTCAAAAAGATGCAAGTATAACCCATAGTGGATTGCTTTCCATCTCAGGGAGGAGAGAGGGACAGAAAACCCTCATAATAAATATGCATAGTCAAGAGTACATTATTGGGGGAACTATGAATTAACTTAAGTCATTCTGGAAAGACATCTGGAATATGCCCCAAAAGTCAATAAACTGTTCATTCACTTCAACACAATAATGCAACTATTAGGTCTATAATCCAAAGAGATCAAAGAAAAAGTAAAAAAGACCCATATGGTGAAAAATATTTATAACAGCTCTTTTGGCGGAGGCAACTAAGGAGGTGCTGGTCAATTGGGGAATGACTAGGGATTATGGTATATGAATGTAATGCGATATTATTCAGCCATAAGAAATGACAAAATGGACAGTTTCAGAAGAAACTAGGAAGATCTATATTTTTCAAAAAGTGAAGTGAGAACCATAAAAAACAATTTGTACAATTACAACAACATTATAAAGAAAAACAACTTTGAAAGACTAAAGAACTTTGGTCAATACAATTACAAATCAAGACTCAAGTAGACTGAAGGTGAAGAATGCTACCCATTCTTGATAGAAGAGTGATTGATGAAGGATGAAGAATGAAACATGCATTTTTGGATGTAGTCAAGGAGAGATTTTCTTCTCTTGACTATGCATATTTATTATAAGGGTTTTCTTCTTTCTTTCTTTTGTTGTTCAAATGGAGAGAATGGAAATAGTGGGATGGAAAGAAAATAAATGCTTGCTAATTGCAAAAGAAATTAATAAAATTAAATTTAAAAAGAAAAGTAATGTATCAAATATTTTTGACTTTTTCTATACTTTGAAATGTTAACATTTAATTTTTTAAACACATTTTTATGATTTTTTTTGTATCACTACTACTTCCCAATGATCCTGCCCTACCCTCACAATAGAAGCCTCCCTTATAGCTGAGCAAAACGAGCCTCCATATTGGCCGTGCCTGAGAGTGTACGCCTCATTCTAAATCAATGCTATATGGTATGAGATGTTAGCCTAAACCTAAACTCTTTCAGTTTGCAGCAATGTGAATCCTTAGTCCATAGCTGAGGTCTTCAGCTTTAAGTAGTGTGTTTATGGTTTGCAAAGTGCTTGATAGATATAGATATAGATGTAGATATAGATACGAATACAGATATGGATGGACAGTGAGGTGGTACAATGAATACAGAACTGGGCCTGAAGTCAGGAAGACTCATCTTTGTGAGTTCAAATCCAGTCTCAGACATTTACTAACTGTGCGATCCTAGGCAAGTCACTTAACCCTGCTTGCCTCAATTCCCTCATCCATAAAATGAGTTGGAGAAGGAAAATGGCAAACCACTCCAGTATCTTTGCCAAGAAAACCCCAAATGGGGTTATGACTGAAACAACTCAACAGAAAGAACAGATATGGATAAGATATAGAAGTAGATACAGATATAAAGAGAGATGGAGATGGAGATGGAAATAAAGAATCTCATTTGACATTTACAACTCTGTGAAAAAAGGTGGCGAAGTTGGTAAATGACTTGCCCAGGACCACACAGAGTGTAAGTATCTGAGGCAGGCTTCAAGTATGGGTCTCCCTGGCTCCAAGTCTGGCACGCTATTCAATAGGCCAAGCTACCTTTCATTACCGAAACTCACTGTTCTTCATACGTAACCTGAATTCAAGCCTTTTCATCTGAGGTCATTGATTAAAATCTTCCAGAAGTTCCCTTGGTAAGGTTATAAACAAACTCCCTCCAGATAATTGGGATTCTTGGATATTAAAAGGGCTCCATGACAGTCAACCGTCTTCTAAGTAGTGACTTGATATAACTAATACGTTTTAATAGATTGGAATCCCAGACACAATCCCAGTGATTCAATTTGTTTGCTTTGCCATTACTGGGTTCCATTTCTGTGTTGAATTGGGTGTTTAGCTTACCTTCTGACTCTAGCAAAGCAGACATCACAAATCCAATGTTAAGATAAAATGGTAAGGTCTCTTTAACTCCTAGCCTTGAACATAATATATAGATGCTTAATAAATGCTTGCCCTTTTTTTTTTTAATGATTCAGGAATGGAGTTCACAGGAACTCTCAGTAAAGCAGATTATTCTTTTCAACTGATGTAAAGACCCTACAATATCTAGGGTATTGCACTAGAGTTTCTAGAGTCAAATAACCCATGCCTTTAATGAGTCCCAACTGTTAGGTCCTCCATTCTCATGTTCTTGGACAGTGCTGGAGTTGTATAGGATACAGCAAGTCCATTGTTTGGAGACCAGAAACCAAACTTGAATCTTTGGGGAAGGAAAAGGCTACTTAGGGGGCAACCCTCCCCACATGGGAAGATCTAAGGAGAGCAGCTTTTGAGAGGCAGTGATAGAGAATCAATGGAATTCCTCAAGTGGGCACTATATATTAGGAGGGATAGGAGCTACCCAGAGCACTGGTGGAGTGACAAGCATCCCTAGACCCTTTCTCCCTAAGAGAGAGGGGAGAGAGGTAAAGCCAAGATGGCAGAGTGAAGTCAGCTTTTTGGCTCAGCTCTCCCAATGCTTCCCTCTAAAACTTGAAAAAGTGTGTCAAACCAAATTTTGACCTGGGAAAGCCAACAAAAAAAAATCACAGTAAGCTTTCTAGCCCAGGGAAGTTTAGGAAGCCAGAAAGAGAAGCCTCAGATGCTGGGGTTGGGGCTGGCCAGGAGCATGGCATGGTGGTAGTGGTAGAAGTGACACCAGCTATGGGTTGTGGGGTGGCAGCAGGCAGAGCAGCTAAGAGTCAGAAACGTGAAGGAGATTGAACACCTCATCAGAAAGAGATCCCAGATGACCATTGTACCAGGAGCAGATGCAGGATCAGGTGATATTGGGCAGCTCTGTTGTCCATTACCCATCTCTAGGTCACAGTTCCAGGGTGGAGAAAAGTAGTCACAATCACAAGAGAGCACAGAACACAGCACAGGCTGGGACAGTCTCTCCAACCTCTCCCCAGTTTACACTACTTTGGAAGCCCCCAAAACTAGGTAACCACCGAGCTGTAACAGTGGCAGAAGCACATAAAAGACAGAAGTTTGGGCTAGACATTCCCCTACCCCATCCCCAGAGGTAGCAGAGCCCGACTTTAACATAAAGTCCAAAGTCAAGAAATAGGCTGGAAAAATGAGGCAACACCAACAACAAAGAATCTGACCATAAAAAGCTACTATGGTGACAGGAAAGCTCAACACACAAACTCAGAAGAAGACAATGACTTGAAAACACCTATAAGGAAAGCCTCAAAACAAAAGGTGGATTGGACATGAGCCCAGCAAGAATTCTTAGCAGAGCTTTTAAAAAAAGGATTTTTAAAATCAAATAAGAGAGAGGAAAAATTGGGAAAAGAAATAAGAGTAATGCAAGAAAATTATGAGAAGAGAATTAACAGCTTAGTAAAAAAGACACAAAAAAATACTGAATATCCTTAAAAACTTGTATTGACTAAATGCAAGTTAATGGCTTCATGAGACATCAAGAAACAATAAAACAAAGTCAAAAGACTAAAAAATAAAAGATAATATGAAGGATCTCATTGGAAGAGTGAAGGGGAAATTTCTTGGCTAATACCAAGTTCCTGGTCAATGTCAAAGTACTTGTCTCAACCTCCTGGAAGAGGAAGAGGAAGAGGGACCTATCCTGGATAAAAACAAATTCCTTTTTGGAGAGGAGAGAAACAAGCAAGAGGCCCAGGAACTGGATGATCAGCAATGGATTAAGTCACAGTATAAAATAACCAACAGGGACTTTGCTCATGAGTGCTGTTGTGAGTTACGTGGACTGTGCCAGGGTGATGGAAAGAGGAATGGCGGCTCACTTTCAGTACCAAGTGAAAAATTCTTTTTCAGGGAGCCCTCAAACCCTATGTAGCACTATAAGTCTAGAAAATCACATAGGTCCCTAGAGGTTGGTGGGGCTCAACAGAGAAAAAGTGGGCCATCTCTCTATTGGCATGAAATGTGATTCCCTTCTGGGGACATCTCAACCACAGAACAGTACTATGAGACTGGAGAGCTATATTTGTAGCCCAAAGAGCAAAGTGAGATGGACTAGAGATGGTAGAAGAATTGTCTCGACTCTTTATGGATTCTTGTGAAGCCTTGGGGTTTTTTCCCATTATTTCTATGTTTGAAATAAAGGCTCTTATATATATATATATATATATATATATATATATATATATATATATATATATATAGTTAACTTGAGTGCTTTTACATAAGTTGAGAGGGACCTTTTAACCTATAGCTGTAGTGACTTAGATATAATCTATAGTCTTTTAAAAAAATTTTTATTAAAATCTTTTGTTTTTTTACACTGTTTAAATTTTCCCCAATTCCTCCCTTATCCCCCATCAGCCATCCCATGTAACAAATATTTTTAAAAGAAAAAGAGAAAAAAAATCAGAAAAACCAATCAATACATCAAAAAAAAAATCTAAAAATATATGCAATGATCCATATCTGTTGAGATCCCACCTCTGAGGGGAATTGTCATCTTACATCTCTTCTTCTTAGGGTCTGTACTTGACACAAGCCATACTGTTAACATTTTCTTCAGACACCCTAAGTTGGTGCACAAGCCAAGGAATGATGTATGAGAAGTCCTAAGACTGACCCTGGTTTTTGGAAGCCTGAATCTCAGGATCCAGGGCCAGAACCCTTATATACCGTTAGCAGTTAAGAAACAACTAAATTTAGCATCTACTTAGCAAGAACAATCCAATTCAGAAGCATTCACAATATCCTATAAACACCAAAATGTTCCTAGAAGCAGCAAAAAACTGGAAACAAAACATAGATGCCCATTAACTGGGGAAAGGCTGGCGTTGTGGTAGATGAATGTAATAGGATATTACTGCACTGTAACAAATGATGACTATAAAGACGACAGAGAAGCTTGAGAAGATTTACATGGACTGATCCAGGACATAATCTACATAATCACCACAGTGATGCAAAGAGAAAGAACCATGGAACATAACCATAAGCTGTGAAATTGCAATGACCAAGCTTGGTCCCAAAGAAGAGGCAGAAGAATGCATCTCTCCACTTGACACCTACTAGCTGTGTGACCCTGGGCAAGTCACTTAACTCCTAATGTCTCACCAAAAAGCAAAAAAAAAAAATACATCTCTCTCTTCTTTCAGAGGTAGGGAGTTACCAGTGTGGAACAATACCTATAACATTGAACTTGGTAAATGTGTTGGCTTGTGTGGCTCAACTGTTTTTCTTTTCTCTTTTCTAAATTCTTTGTTATAAGGGGTGGCTCTCTGAGGAGGGAGGAGGAAGGAATATATCGGAAAAGGCAGGTTATGTAAAAGTCAAAGATATCAAGAGAAAAAAATTAAAGAAAAACAATCCTCCACCTTCTACCCATGCCCACCACAGCCTCATCCCAGCTGAAATCTTCCCTGGCCCAGCCCTACCCTCTTCAGCTCATTCTCACAGCAGCCTTTTGGGGTCTCTCATCCACCTTCCTACTCAAATTAATTTGTCTTAAAAGGTTGATTTGAGGGTACATTTCATACTTCTTGCCCCAAGGCCAAAATTGCCAATTAGGACTCAGGAGAGGTACCTGGCATACAGTAGGTACTTAATAAATGCTTGTTGACTTGACTTATATGAAATCACTGGCAGGGATCTTACATGGACTGACTTGGGGAGACTCTAAAGGACTGGTAGGAATAAGAGAGAGAAATAATTAGAGAGAAAAAGCACCCCAAGGCAAAAGGAATAGTATGAGAAGAAATATGGAAGATAGCAGGGGATTTGCAGAACAGGCCTGAAAGAGATTAGAGTACACAGAAGGAAGAAATACAAGTTAATAATTATATTCAACCTTTAGTATTATCAATAAAACATTTTTTAAAATACCCAGAGGATGGCCTCCAGCATTTTGGAAGATGGTAATGGTTACACAGAATGAAACATTATCAGTCACGGTCTGCTCCAGTAGATGAGAACACCCTCAGGATGAGAGATCACATACCCCTCCCCTCCCACTGAAAGAGGGTAGAAGTAAAAATAAAGCTCACATTTTACTAGACTTTTACAGTTTAATAATATAAAATAACTAGTATTCATACAGTGCCTACTACGTTCCTAGCACTGTGCAAAGCACTTTACAAATATTAACTCATCCTCACAACAGTGAGGAGACGTAGATATCTTCATAACACGCCAAGTAGATAGGTGCTATTATTATCCTCATTTTACAGTTTGAGGAAACTGAGGCAGGTTTGGTGACTTGCCCAGGGTCACACAATTGGGTATTGTCTGAAGCTACATTTGAACTCAGTCTTCCTGACCCTAGGCCCAATACTACATGCACTATGGAGCCACCTAGCTGCCTCTAGTTTATAACGTATTTTCTTCACAATAACCCTGGGAGGTAGATATTGTAAAGATTATTGCCCCCATTTTCCAGATGGGGAAACTGAAGCTCAGAAAGATAAAAATGACTTGCCTTTGGTTCCACTGCTAGGGTCAGAAGCGGAATTCAAACCCAGATTGCTTGACTTCAAGTTTAGCCCCAATCCCCTCTTTTTTTTTCCTTTTCACTGAACTCTACTGCCTTAAAATGTAGGGAGGGCAGCACCAGAATGGGGGTGGCTTTGGAGTTTGAGGCTAAGGAGTTTGAATTTTAATTCATCACGCTAGGGAGGTAAAGCATCAGGGCCAAATGTGTTCATGAGAAAGGCTTGTCTTGCTGGGGTGTGAAGCATGGACCAGAGGGTGCAGAGAGTAGGGACAGTGGTGTGGCGTAGTGGGGCTTTGGGGACAATCTCAGGAGGGCATCTGAATGTAAAGGATGTTGGGTCAGATGACCTCTAAAGTCCCTTCTGGCTCTAAGTCTTAAGATCTTTCTGTCATTGCAGATAAGAAGATCGAGAGAGAGAGCTTGGCCAGCTACATTGAAAAGAAGAGACAAATGTTTCTGATCCAGGTAGCTTCCCCGTGGACGGAGTCCCCAGAATGGACAGTCCAATTCCCTTAACACCAGTTTCCAATATGGCTCTCCTGAACACCCCACCATGAAGGTGTCCCTAATGTTCTCAAAGGGACCAGTGGGATGGGTCAAGGCGGTGGGGCCCCAGAGCATGCTATTGAGGGATAGGCCTAGCTTGCCTCCTCTTCACCCTCCCGAATATTGAAAAGTCTATGCCCCCATGTACTGGAGGGAGCAGGGAGACATCTGGTATGGTGAAGGGGGAAGTCTGGAGGGGAGGGGAGATTCCCAAGGAATGGCCTTTGCCAGTCCCCTTGAGTAGAATGAGTTTGTTTCTGGAGCTTGGTGGTTTCTTCAGGGGTGACAGGGCTTAAAACAAAAAGCATGGAAAGAAGGTTGGGACACAGAAAGGGGACAAATGAGGAAAATGGGAAGGGTGCTCTTGGCCTGGCTTCTTCAAAGTCTTTTGGCAGCTTCAGTCCTCACCCCTTACTCGAAAAGCAAACTTGCCCTTTCCTCTTCTCATTTTGTTTTCCCAAACCTCTGTTCTTTCTCTTCTCTCCTTGCCTCCTCCTTCCTTGCCTTCTCCTTCACCCTCTTTCCTCTCCCGTACCCTTATTGACTTGTGCTAAGATCCCAAGACCCCTGAAATGCCTGTGCTCTAGGGAAGAGAAAAGGTCTCTGAATATACTGTACAGGAAAACAGGTACCTCTGGTACCCCCTTGACAGAGTTAGAGCTTCTCAATCCTTTGGTGTTCTCGGGCCTTGGGCCACCCAGGGCCACAGACCAGCGCTCAGACCTCTCCCAAGAAGCACCAAGACAATAGGGCAAGGGGAGGAGGAGAGATAGATTCAGAGACATGTAAGAAAAGCCGTCCAGGAGCCCCTGAGCCCTACACCTGCATCGTCCTATGCCCAGTCCTACCTTTCCTCTCTGCCTCCTCTGACACAAATCATACCATGAAGCTAGTGTCCAATATCAGCAGGGGCCCCATTCTACCCCCTGCTTTCCTATGTGGACACCAGCATGACGGAGAGGCTGAGCACTTCCTGAGGGATACTGTCCACAGCTGCGACCTCTGTTCCGTGACTTAGTTCCCCTGACATCTCTCAGCAGCCCTGACGTCTTTGCAGACCTATCAAAATTCTCCCCTTCTAGGGACCATTCTCTTCATTTCTTCCCCCAAGGGAAAGAGGCGAGAGGGTAGCCTAATCTTTCTGAGTACCGCTAGGAGAGACTGGCTAATGCCTGGAAGGGCAGTGGATAATGCTGTTTGAACCCAAGCCTATCCCAGTCTATCCTTCCTAGCTCCACTGTCAATCATTTATTTTCTTTTCATTTTTTCTTTTTTATCATCATTACTGAACAACTGAAGGGCTATATCACATAACTTACTGGTCCCTTAGCCAGTGCTGCCTGCCCATCTATGTAACTAGGTAGCCCAGGGGACAATGCTGGACTTAAGAGTCAAAAGACCTGAGTTCAAATCCTGCCTCAAACATTCACTAGTTGCGTGACTCTGGGCAAGTCATTTAACCTCTCTCAGCCTGTTTCCCCATATGTAAAATGAGGGTAATACCTTCTATCTCATAGGGTTATTGTGAGGACCAGATGAGATAATGTATGTGAAACCTTGAAGTGCTATATAACTTCTGGCTATTATCGTCACCCTTATTATCATTTTTTTTCTACTTAAGAGTGTCCCTTTCTGCCACTTCAATAAACAGTCGGAAATCTCCAGGAATTCTACTTTAAGAAACTGGTAGGCACACAGTAGCAGGTTCCCTTCCTCCCTCACAAGAGCTGCCTAATCAAGGGCGATCCTCCTGTTTCCCTAGTTTGCCAAGAATAAAGCACACCCTAACTGGTACCATCATTGGTCATACAAAAGTCTATTTACTAGCTTTGGGGTTAGAGAAGAGGATCATAGATCTGGGGACCTCAGAAGACATTGAGTCCATCCTCCCCCCCTCATTTTACACTTAGGGAAACTGAGGTCCAGTGAGATCAACTAACCCACCCAATATCATGCAGGTATTTCTAGAGGCAGGTCTTGACCCCTTGACCTCTGACTCCTGAGCCAATGTCCTTTCTCCTATACCATGATGCTTCCAGTGGGAACTGTCTTCAAAATCAGCTCTTCTTTCCTGAGTGGCCTTGTTTAAGGGCTTAACCCCTCTGTACCTCAGTCTTCTAATCCATAAAATGAAGAGATTGGAGTAGATTATCTTCAAAGTCATTTCTGACCCCTCCCCACCCCTCACCCCAGGCTTGGGAGCCTGTGACTCTTACCCTAAGATTTCATGGTCAACGTCTCTCCTCTCCTCCCCACTCCCTACCATGGGACATGAGTGGGGATCAAAGATAGATTCAGGTAGTGGGAAAGCTGCATCAGCCTGAGGGATTAGCAGACCCCTGCTCTCAAGGGTTTGAGCCATCCCCTCTTACACGTGGTGTGAGTCATTCCCACTTTGACTCCTGCAAGTGTTAAGATAGGTATCGGATCACCTCCATCATACCTGTGAGTTGTCAGGATGGGCAATAGAAGGGTGGTCTCTCTCCTTAATGCTGATACTCCTTTCGGAGTCCTGTGACCTTCGACACAGACATGCCAGAGAGAGTAGGGAAGGGTTCAGAAGGCATGTCGAGGCAAGTTCATTTAACCTCTCTCAGCCTCAGTTTCCTCATCTGTAAAATGGGGGTAATGGTAGCACCTACTTCCCAGGGTTGTCATGAGGCTCAAATAAAGTAACATACGTAAATGCCAGCTATTAGCTCTGATTCTCCTTCCTTTTTCTCCAGCACAAGGTGGTACACAGCCATCTTACAAATGGGCCTCCAGCACCAGCAGGGAATTCCTTCTTCCTGCTTTTATATTCTGGCTACAGGCAGGCCCTGAACGTGAGAGGAGGCTGAGCATAAGTGATAGGAATTAGAGCCAGAAGGGCCCTCAGAGACCTTCCAGGTGCCTTCCTCAGGGCTAGTCAATTAATTAATAAGTATTTGTCAGGTGCTGTCAGAGAGCAAGAATACAAACACAAAAATCCAACACTGTTTGTCCTTCCCCAGAGAAGAATATGGAAAATCAGTATGGGGTAATGTGGGGGACAGCAGAGACCCTAGAAACTGGAAGAATGAGGAAAGGGTTCCTGGGGAAAGTGAGGCTATACTTGAGCTCTGAAGGCAAGTGGAGGATTCTGAGAAGAGAGAATTAGGAGAGAATGTATTCCAGGTGTACGGGTCAGCACAGAAATGGTAGGTGTAGTCTGATGGGTGAAGAAAGGCATATTCTTCCTCGGCCCTTCCTTCCTTCCTTCCATCTTTCCTTCCCTCCTTCCTTCCTTCCCTCCTTCTTTCCTCTCTCCTCTCCTCTCTCCTCCTTCACTTCCCCTCTCTTCCTCCCTTACCTGAGGGTGTTCTGCCCAAAGGAAGACAAATTTTGATGAGTGAAAACTGCCTAATTAACTTGGGGTTTATTGGCTAGATTTCTCTCTCAAAGACCACACCTTAAACTCAATTCTGGAGCTCACAGATTGGACAATAATAGGGCCCTGCCCTGCCCAAGTACCACTTAATGGCTATTTTTTGGGCCCTCCTGGCTCAGAGTGAATGTAAATAGTAACTGTTTCTCCTTTGGCCAGCAACCCTGAGGGTCTTCTCCTCTCAGTTTGATTTTTCAAGGGTCATCCCTTGACTCACTTCTTAAAGAGACCTATTCACTGAATGGGTGTTGTCTCACTCAAAGTGAGAACCTGAAAAGACCTTAGCTTAAAAGGATCAGGGTCTCCCATTACATCCTGGGCCATCTCCAGTTGTCCTGATGAATATCTGGCTACTGGTCCCAGATGGCTCTGGAGGAGAAAGTGAGGCTGGTGACCTCGCACAGCCCTCCCTCACTGAAATCAAAGTCAAATACAAGTCATGTCATCACCTCCCTGATGTCATGGTCCTCTTCAAGAACAAAGGACAAACACAACAACCTTCCTTCTTATACTCACAGTTTCTCCCCATCCTTCTTTCTTTCTATTTTTGTTCCCTCCCCTCTTCTCTTCCATCATGCCCCCTTTCCCACAAGATCGAGGGTAGACCCCGTGTATGTTCCTGAGGCCAAGACTGGGGAGGACATGGAGAACCCTTAGAACTGTGTCCCCAAGGTGTGGTTTGTTGGCCCTTAGTATGCCCTGGAGGTGAAGAGAGAGGAGATCCTGAGGCTGGAAATGTTGGCCACCAAGGAAGAGATGAAGCTGGAGAAGGCAGAAAAGTTCCTTGAGAAGGACGCGACTCTGTTTGATGAGTTCCTGAAGGAGAACGATCGAAACTCCGTGCAGGCCACGAGAATGTAAACCAAGGGGGGGAAGGTGCAGCCATGGGGGCAAGGCCCATGAGAACAGTGGAGGGGCAGCTGACAAGTATCACTGGGGCGAGATGGTGTCTCCCAACCTTAACTCTCTAGGTCCAGTGGTTATACTCAATAACTGAGGATCAAAAACTATCCTGTAGCCTAGAGGCTGAGCCACAGAAACTCACAGTGGGAAAACTTCCATAGATCCCTGCGTAGAAAGGAAAAGGGGGAGAATCTGGCCTCCCACTACACCCTAATGGTGTCAGTCCAGGAAAAGTATTCTATTCACAGGGCAGAGGAGGACCATGTACCGTGCGCTTCTACGGCAGTATCAATATACCCAGATTTAACGCTCCAATGAAATGGGGCCATACTTTTAGGTTTTGGCTCTTTCCATAAGCACCTAACCAAGCCTTAAACTGGGGCGTGTACCCTAGTCTAATCCTAAACCCAAACACTCGTAAGCACTGTATTAAAAACTAACTCTGTCTCTGACCCGAAAGTCATAATCCCCTCTATTCCCATTGCTAAAAAACCTAATCGTATCTTTAAATCCTAACTCAATCTCTAATACTAAAACCTTAATCCTAACTTTAGTTTTAGCTTCACTGCTGCACAAACACATGTCAAAGGTCACTATTTATCCTGGGTATTCATAGCCATTGTCCTAGAGGAACCTAACCACATGGGTTGGAGGTCTTACCAATAGCCCCTGTTCCCTTTATAATCCTAGAAGGCAAAGGAAACTTGAGAGGTCATCTAGCCCATCCCCCTGTCCTCAAGCACTAAGCTTGAAGGCTGGTTCTAGGAAGAATAGCCTCTACTCAGCCCTTTTAAACCAACTTTTGCCCAGCCAAATGTGAAGAGACAAAATTAATTGAGGGTAACTCTCCATTCCCTCTCCCTAGTGTATCATGTCTGTTCTTAGGCTACCATTTTGTAAAGGCCAAGTCTGTGCTCTTTTCATTCTCCAAATTATGGACTCCTCCTGTTCCCACCAAGGTCTGATCTGCTCAGAACCTGTATCTCCACTGGGCCTTTAGTCTTGCCCATATTCTCCTTACCCATGAAGGGAAGGATATGGTCCTTTAAGACCCACCAGGGTCCACCTAGCTAGTACCCCTGTCCTTCATTAGTTTCTGCCAGCCGGTAACTTTTTCAAGTATTTGGTGGATCAGTCAATGTTGGGTTGACCATAAGTTAAGCCAGCACATCGAACACAAACCTAGCTTTGTGTTCGGCTCTGTTATGGGGTCTAGGAATTACCAAGGCCAAGACAAGGACAATGAGGAGCTGGGCGTGGCTGAAGTGGAAGATATATGTTGGAGAAGAGTCCAAATTGAAGTTAGACCAAAGAGATCCTTAAAAAACGGGAAGGAAAGTTTAGACTTGGTGTGGTAGCCAATTTCCGTTGTTTTTACATTTTGAAGATATCAATGGAGAACACAGGCTATGCATCAATTATTTCTTCAACCACATCATCTGAGCAGCCCATCTCCTTTTCTAAACATGTTTCCTCCCTGATAGCCGCATGCATAGGATGACCTCAAATACGTCATCATTGGAAATACGCTGTCATCCCCTTGCACCCACCATGTATTTCTCCATTGACTGTTGGTTATGCAAAACTTTTCATTCTTCAGAATTGCACATTTTAAGATGTGCATTGCTGGGAAAACACTTGGTTACTCTCAAAATATAAACAGACCCAGGGAAGGAAGTCCTGTGACTCATTGGGTAGATCTTGTTCATAGCATCCATGAAAGAAGATGGATAAGAAACTGAGGAGGGAATACTCAAACAGGGTCCACGGATGAAGCATGGAAGGAGTAGCACAGACCACAGGGTCATATAACTGGAACTGGAAGGGACCTCACAATCCACCTCTTCCTTTAATAGATAAGGAAACTGAGGGAGAGCCAGAGAATCAATGTGACTTAGAATCACGGGATTCATCATTCGAGAAATGGAAGAGACTGTGGGTGTCATCTAGTCAACCCACTCGTTCTACAGATGGGGAAACTGATGTGCAGAAAGGATAAGTGGCCTGCCTGGGGTAACTGGTTGACTTGTGCTGAGAAGAAGGATTGTGGTATAACGGAAAGAGCACTGGACTTGGGCAGGTCTCTTTAACCTGCGTTGGCTTCTATTTACCCACAGGATGGTTGTGAGGAAAGCATTTCGTAAATTTAGCACTAGAGAAATATGAGTAACTATTAACTGTAATGAGTTTCACACCTTATGGGACAGAGAGATTCTTGTGCCAACCAACTAACCAAGTATTTATATATGCCTACTACATGCACAGCTCTAGGCACGGGGAGATACAAAGAGAAATGAGAAACTACTCCTGCCTTCCAGCAGCTTCCAAGGTAGTAGGTTTTTCATAAGACCAAGAACTGAAAATCCTCTAAATCAGTGGTGTCAAACTCAAACAGAAACCGATCCAGGGCGCCACCTATTGACTTAGAAAACCACAAATTAACATTATCTATGTTGTACTGCATTTTTGTTTGTTTTGTTAAATGTTTCCCAATGGCATTTTAATCTGGTTCAGGGCTGTTTGTGTCCCAACTTCGAGTTTGACCCCTCTGAATAATTTCCTCCTTCTAGAGATGAAAAAATTGAGGCCTACACCAGAGGAAATGGCTTGTCAAAGGTGATGCAGATAGTTAAGTAGAAGGGAGGGAAAATACACATACATTAAAGACAGGCTATAATTTAGCTCTATACTGACATTAGATAGTGCTAGAAGAGTCCAGAGGAGGGATAGCCATTGTGAGCTATCATTGTCAAGGAAAACTTTCTGAAGCAGGCAGGACTAGAGCTAGGCCTTGAAGGATAAATAGGATTTCAGTTATTAGAAGGTAAAACATTATTAAGCCTCCTTGCTTCTTTAGAACGCATTTCCCAAGAAGAAACCTCTTCACCCTAAGCCGGAGGCATGGGAATGGACCAAATGACCTCTCTAGGCACCTTCAATTTCCTATATTCCAAAATTTTGACCCTCTCTCTTTGCTTAGGCCAAAGGAAAGCAAGATGGAAGACTGCTCCCTAATCTTTCTAGATCAAACTTTCTTTTTTCTTTAGATTGAACTTTTTCTCGAAGGGAGTTTATTCTTTAATTTAGGCTGGGTCTGCAGCTGATGAGACTGACTAGCTGGTGGTCCGGCTACCTCTCATAACAAGTCTTCCTTCTGTCATAGAGCTGAAAAGGAGGCCAAGGTGAAGATGGAGAAGATCATTGAAATCCGAGATATCACAGCACAAATCTTAACGGTGAAAAGGTGACAGTTTCCCCACTTTCCTTCCAGAGAGAGTCAGAAAAGGCATCGCATTAGGGGGAAAGCCTCTTTATTCATCTTAGGGGCATAGAACTGTAATACTGAGGGCTGAAATGTGGAGGGGAGATCATCTCTTCGGGTACAGTGGAAAGAGACCCAGATTGAGAATCAGAGGATCTAGGTTCAAATACTGCTTGTTTTACTGTGTGACTTTGAGCAGGTGATTTAAGCTCTCTGGGTCTCATTTTCTTCCTTTGTCTAATGAGGGAGTTGGATTGGATGTCCTCTAAGGTCCCGTTTAGCACTGGATTTATGCTTCCGTTATGCTTTGTTTTACAAAGGAGGAAACTGAGGCTCAGAGAAATTACCCTCCCCCAACTCCAGACCGACCTTCCTAAAACACCATTCCCCTGCTCTAGTGACTCCGAGGGATCACCACGAAGTGAGGTAGCCAGGGGGCAGCTACTTATCCCCATGTGACAGATGGGAAAATTGAAGCCTGAGGGCTGCAGTGATTTAATCACAGTTACACAGCGAGGCAGCAGCAAAGCTAGGACTAGACCATCCGTCAAATGAAATAATGTATGAAAAGCTCTTTGCAAATGGTAAAGCACTTTATAAATGCCCACTCCTACTATTCGTTATTATTGTTTTTGTTATTGTTATTATTAATCATATATATGATTATATGGATGTTGTTATTATTAATCATCCTAGGACTTCAGTCAATAGAGGGGAAAAACATTGTGAAGCTTCCCTACTTCCTTCCTGCCCCCAGAGGCAATCAGGGTTGAGTGACTTGCCCAGGGTCATACAGCCAGTAACCATCCGGTACCAAATTTGAACTCAGGTCCCCCTAACTCCAGGGCTAGTGCTCTATTCACTGCACCATCTAGCTGCTCCTTCCCCTATTTCTTTTTTTAAAAGTTTTTTTTTAGGCAATTGGGGTTAAGTGACTTGCCCGGGGTCACACAGCTAGTAAGTGTCAAATGTTTGGTCTGAGGCCAGATTTGAACTCAGGTCCTCCTGACTTCAGGGCTGGTGCTCTATCCACTGCATCACCTAGCTGCCTCCTGCTCCTTTAGGAGGCATTTCCCAAATAGAATCCTGTTCAACCTAAGCAGGAAGTACGGGAATGATCCAGCTGACCTCTCAAGGTCATTTTAGGTGGGTAGGTAGTATAGTAGATAGAGTGCTGGGCCTGCAGTCAGGAAGACCCAAGTTCAAATGTGGTCTTAGACACTTACTATCTGTGCAATCCTGGGCAAGCCACTTAACTCCTGTTTGCCTCAGTTTCCTCATCTGTAAAATGGGGATAATAGTAGCACCTATCTCCCACAGTTGTTGTAAGGATCAAATGAGATAATATTTATAAAGCACTTAGCACGGTGCCTGGCATATGTAAATATTGTTATTATTATTATTATACCCAGTCCAGTGTTCTTTCTACTGATCTGCTACCTCTCTAATTTTTTTTTAAAGAAAGGAAGGGGGTGGAAAAGTAGGAAAAAAGGATGGAATGAGAGGAATGGGAAGAGACTGGGTGACAAGGACACACATAGTTCACAGAATCCCACCCACAATGTCAGGTCATTAGCAGTTCCAACTGACACAGCCTTCTCACAGGTGACCATACTCACACATATATGTAATACACAGTTATATGATACAATATTGTATCATCAAAATACCAATGCAGGAAAAAACTCACAAATTTATAATAAATTATTAAATTTAAGATGTATCTTTTAAAAAAATTATATTTTTGAAATGACTAAAATTAAAAAAAAAAACATTAAAGGGCTAAAGAAAGTAGATTTCCGGGGGCTGTTGGGTAATTTTTTTTTAAAAGGGGATGGTAGGCCAAAGAAGTTTGGGAACCTCTGGTCTAGACCAACTCCATCATTTTGCAGATGAGGAGACAGAAGCCCAGAGTGGTTTAGCAATTTGCCTGAGATCACACAAGTGGAAAATACAAGAAATGGAATTCAAACTCAGATTCTGTGATTCCAAAATTCAGCATCTTTTCCATTACAACAAATTCTGGCTCTGCCCCTAACTGTGTGATATTGGGCCAGTGTGTTCCCCATTCCTTGGTCAAATGGGCTAGGTGGTCTCTGTGAACCTTAACACTTTTAATATTCTGGGAGGGTTAGAAATAGGAATGTGAGGAATAGAAAGGTGACATTCTGACGGGTTGGGGAACCTGTGGTCATGTACCATTGGCTTAACCTTTACAATATCTCTTCCTTGAATTCCGGCCCAGCGAGATATCCAAGTTTGAAGACAATGTCCAGATTTTCAAAATCTATAAGGATTTCCTCTATAAGCTGTCCCCCAGGGATTGGCTGATGACCCATGCCAGGAAGCATTTGGCCCATGCTGCTGCCAGGATGACCTTAAACCAACAAAAAGAGACTATTCCGTTTTTACCCACCGAAAAAGGTAACAGGAGGAAGGAGGGGGAGACCAAGGGGTTGAGTCTGAGAGGGACTGTCTAAATGTTACCCCTCCATCCCTATGATTTGCAAAGCCCCTACCTGTTGGGTCACACCAGGACAGATCTTGGGCATCAGTAAAACAGAGCCTTTCCAACAGATGGGAAGTCACCTGAGCTCAGAGCAGGCAGAAGGTCAGTATCCAGGCAGGTAGAGTCATACCCAAAGGCCCACAAATAGCAACCTTTCAATCAATAAGCTCTTATTATATGCTAGATACTGTGATGGGCAATGGGGATACAACTAAAGTGAGACAGTCTTTGTCCTTAGGGAGATAATCAAAGACGAGGGAGGACAGGCAAGAATTCAGTAATCCAAGACAGACACATTGGAGCATCTATCCAGACACAAGCAGTCTCAGAATCAGATCTGTGGGCTATTTGGGCTGGAAGGAATGTAAGAGAGCGTCTGGTCTAATCCCTAAATTTTACAGGGACCCAAAGAGGGAAAGTAACTCATCTAAGGGCACACAGTTTGTTAGTGAGAAAGCTGGGACTGGAACTCGTGTCTCATGACTCCCATAATGCTTTCTGCAATACCAGAGTGCCTGGGGTTGCACTAGAAACTGGAAAAGAATATGGCAGAAACTAGGCATAGACCAAAATCTCACACCATATACCAAAATAAAGTCAAAATAGGTTCATGATTTAGATATAAAGGCTACTGTAAGTGAACTGGGAGAGCAAGGAGATTTATGGAGAACAGAAGAATTCATGACCAAACAGGAGATAGAGAACATTACAAAATGCAAAATGGATAATTTTGATTACAATAAATTGATAAGTTTTCGCACAAACAAAGCCAATTCAACCAAGATTAGAAGGGAAGTAGAAAATTGGGAAAGAATTTTTACAACCAATGTCTCTGATAAGGGACTCATTTCTAAAATATATAAAGAACTAAGTCAAATTTATAAGAATACAAGTCATTCCCCAATTGATAAATGGTCAAAGGATATGAACAGGCAGTTCTCAGATGAAGAAATTAAAGCCATGTATAGTCATATGGAAAAATGCTCTAAACCACTATTGATTAGAGAAATGCAAATCAAAACAACTCTGAGGTACCACATCACACCTATCAGAATGGCCAACATGACAAAACAGGAAAATGATAAATGTTGGAGAAGATGTGGGAAAATTGGAACACTAAATGCATTGTTGGTGGAGTTGTGAAATGATCCAACTATTTTGGAGAGCAATTTGAAACTATGCCCAAAGGGCTATAAAAATGTGCATGCCCTTTGACCTAGCAATAGCACTTCTAGGGCTGTATCCCAAAGAGATCATAAAATGGGAAAAGGACCCACATGTACAAAAATATTTACAGCAGCTCTTTTTGTGATGGCAAAGAATTGGAAATTGAGAGGATGCCCATCAACTGGGGAATGACTGAACAAGTTGTGATATATGAATGTAATGGAATACTATTGTGCTATAAGAAATGATAAACAGGTGGACTTCAGAAAAACCTGGAAAGACTTGTATGGTCTGATGTTAAGTGAAGTGAGCAGAACCAGGAGAACATTGTACACAGTAATAGCCACGTTGTACAATGACTAACATTGATAGACTTAACCCTTCTCAGCAATGCAAGGATCTAAGACATCTCCAAAGGCCTCATAATGGAAAATGCTATCCATATCCAAAGAAAGAACTATGGAGTTTGAACGCAGACCAAAGCATACTATTTGCTATTTTTTTTTCTTCTGTTGTGTTTTGTTTTCTCTTTCTTGTGGTTCCTCCTATTGGTTCTAATTCTTCCTTACAACATCAATAATGTGAAAATATGTTTAATAGGAATGTATATGTAGAGCCTGTATCAGATTGCGTGCTATCTTGGGGAGGGAGGGGGGGAGGGCAGGGGAGAAAATTTAAAACTCAAAAGTTTGTGGAAGTGATTGTTGATAAATCAAAATAAATTAATAAAAAAAAATTAGAATGGAAAAAAAATACCAGAGTTCCTAATATTGAGAAGGCTCTGGATCAGGCAAGAACTTCTTAGATACTGCCTATTACGGGAGGAGCTCATTCCAAGATATGACATGAGCAGCCACAGGTCAGAGCTAGGAAGTGACTCTGTCTGGCTGAAAAGGGGAGAGAATGGGGGCATTTGGAATAAGTGCCTAATGTTCTGGGGCAGGACCCTCCAAAGGGATCTTTCTATTCTCTCCAGAGACCCAAAAGAGCAGTGAGAGATCCAGCCTGAACATCCCCGTCCCAAACATCCCCTCGTCATCCACAAGCGAGATAATGATTAGCAAGGAGGACAAATCCTCCCGCACATCGTCTTCATCCCAGGATTTACAGCCTCTGTTCAGCATGAGCCCCAGCAAGAAAGAGTAAGCCAAGCTTGGAGGGAGGGCCTGGGCCAGGTCTGGGGGAGCAGACAGGGGTGGAAGACAGCACTAGGCTTGCCCGATTTTGAAGAGATTACAAAGGAAAGGGGACGAGAGGGAGAAGGAGACTGAACTGCATTTCTCTGTTTGGAGGAGGAGAGAGGCATGCCAGGGTTTTTTAAAAATATCACAAAACCATAAAGTTTTACATCAGCCTTAGAACACGGGGTGTGAAATATTTAGGTCAAAAGGGATCCCAGAACATAGAACATTAAAGCTGGAAAGGGGCCTTAGGACAAAGATGATTGAGCTGGAGGGGGACCTTAGAGCATAGAATATCAGACCAGAAAGGGCCTTAGAGCATAGAATGTCAGACCAGGAAGGGCCTCAGGACATAGAATGTCAGACCAGGAAGGGCTTAGAGCATAGAATGTGAGACCAGGAAGGGCCTTAGAGCATAGAATGTGAGACCAGGAAGGGCCTTAGAGCATAGATTGTCAGACCAGGAAGGGCCTTAGAGCATAGAATGTCAGACCAGGAAGGGCCTTAGAGCATAGAATGTCAGACCAGGAAGGGGCCTTAGAACATAGAACGTCAGACCAGGAAGGACTTAGAGCATAGAATGTCAGACCAGGAAGGGGTCTTAGAGCACAGAATGTCAGACCAGGAAAGGGCCTTAGAGCATAGAATGTCAGAGCTGGAAGAGATGATCGATGCTCACGTCACCCCCTCATTTTGTAAAGGGGAAGGAAACAAACCCACAGAGATTGCCCGAGCATAGGGCAGGGCAGCGTCCATTGACGCCAGAGAAACCTTCCCTCTGCCCATGATTGTGGCAGCTGTTCCTGCCAACATTCAAAGAGAGAAAGAGTTTGCAGCGCTTGGACCCAGAAAGGCCATCATCTACAAGATCATAGAACCAGAATGTTAGAAAGGGGAAAGGAACTTGGAAGGACATAAGAATAGCCAACGTTGACGTACTTTAAGGTTGTAGAGTGCTTTGTAAATATGATCTCATTTGATCCCCACAACCACCCTGCCGGGTAGGTGCCATTATTATCCCCAATTTACAGATGAGGAACTGAGGTAGAAAGAGGTTAAGGGATTTGCCCAGGGTCACACAGCTAGGAAGTGTCTGAGATCTAAACTCTATCCATTATGCTACCTGACTGCACAACATGGAGTATCCAAGCTGGAATGGATTTTAAAACACGAAATGTCAGAGCTAGCAGTGGCCTTTGAAACTATCTACTCTAATCCCATCATTTTATAAATGGGGGAAACAGAGGTCATGAGAGGTTATGAGTGACTCTACCCAAGGGTGCACATGGTAGAGCTGGAATTAGAACCAGGTCTCCTGACTCCTACTCCAGTATTTCTTTCCATGCTACATACGGGACTTTTTTAAAAAAAATTCTCAGGTGAGAGGGAAGTTCGGGGAAATTGGCAATATCTGGGGGAGCTCCCAGACTTCCTGGATGCCCCTGCCAGAGACAGAACCCTGGTCTATTACTGACCCAGGCAGTGGGACATAGCAACCAATGGAAAACATAAACCAAAAGAATTTAGAGAGAAGCACCAGGCATATCATAGCCTTTCTGAGCTATTCCAACCATGCTGATTTCTCTCTTTTGAAAATTTCTAAACCAGCATAATACGGGTGCTCGTCACCAGGTTACCTGATCACCCCTGTGCCCGCTGCTGACAGTAGACTGCAGAAATAAATTAGGCTATGTTTAAAGGGGGAACCATTTTTGAAGTTTGGGAGGGGGGAAGGGGAGTTATCCATTTAGGTTAAATACTCAGCACTTACATATGTTTCAGCCCCCTTATAATTATGTGGAATGTATAGAATAGACACAATTATAGAATGTAAAAGTGAGAAGGGATTTTCAAGATCATCAGTCCATACCTGAGAAGAAAGGGCTCCATCAGCATTTTGCATCTTGTAATGAAATTTTAGGCTTCCTAGCTCAATTCAATTCAATAAACATTAATTAAACATCTAGTATGTGCACATGCAGTGAGGTCTCCATTCATGGGAATAATATGCCCCTTTAAAGTGATTGCTTGCATTTGAATCTTACTATTCAAAGTTACAATTATGTAAAATACGGTAAATAGTTGCAAGCCAGTGGAAACAGTGCCAGGACGAATACGGCAACCACTTCAGTAATTAGATCCTAGCTGTGGGGTCATGGTGGCATAATAGAGAACTGGTCTGCACGCCACAAGGGCCAAGGCTTAGGTCCTGCTCATACTGGTGGTGACAAGGAATAAGACACAGAACTTCTCAGAGCTATAAGTAATACTCTAAGAGTATAAATGGAAGCAAAGATCAGGCCATAGATGAGTGTTTATGAAGCATTTACTAGGTTTCCATGCAGTGCCCTCCAGAAGCATCCATCCCAATACAGGAAACAGCATGTAAATAACTAGATCCAGACAGAGTAGACAAAGGCAATCTGAAAAGAGAAGGCATTTGCAGTTGCCGGAGTTGGAGGAAGGGCAAATTAAGGAAAGGCCTCCTGAAGAGGATGGCATTTGAGTTGAGAGGAAGCCAGGGGAACTACAAGGTGGAGGTGAAGAGGGGTAACATCCCAGGTATGGGGGAAGAGCCAATGCAAAAGCTTGAGCTACAAGTGGGCCAGGGTAACTGGATTGTAGAGGTCTTGGCAGGGCTGCAAAAGTAGGAAAGAGCCAGTTTAGTAAGTGCTAAGAAGTAACCTGCACTGGTAGAAGGAGTTTGCTCATCTGGGAGATCCCTGTACCACTAAGATCCCAGGCCCTGGCCCCATTCCTATGTGCTAGGCCCTGGGGATAAATAGGTTAAAAAAAAAAAAAATATGGTCTCTGCTCTCAAAAACGCTTCCATTCTGAAAGTTGAGAGATACAACGTATGCCCAAATAAATGTAATGCAAGGTATTATAAAGGCTTAAACAAAGCGCTCTAGAATAATTTGAGAAAAAGGTGAGAATATTTTTAATTAGGATAAGAAGGAGAGGGCTGAATGTAGGGCAGAAGAGAAGGTGGCATCTGAGCTAAGTCATGAAAAGATGATACAGATTCTGAGAAATAATTCTGAGGAGAGAATGCATTCTAGGCATGGGGGATGATGGTTTAGGAGAAATTCACAGGGGCTGGTAATGATGTGAAAAGCTCAGGCAATAGCTAGGAATACAGTCTGGCTGCAATACAGAATATGTGGAGTAATATGAAATAAATCCGGAAAGGGAGGTTGCAGAGGGAAGGGATATGTCCAGATTTGTGAGGAGGGAACTGCCAGGGTTGTACCTGGGAGTTAAGAAGATTCATTTGGCAGATGTGGGCAGGGCAAGGAGAGACCAGAGACAGGCTGATTAGCTAGGAAGTCATTCTGGTAGTCTTGGCTGGGGGTGATGATGACCTCAGGTTGGGGCATTTTGAGGAGAGAAAGGGATGTATGCAAGAGATATGGGGGTGGTAGAGTGAGAGGACTGGGAATGATCTGAATATGAAGTATGGAGGAGCGGGGAGAGTCAAGGATGGTGACGGCTTCAAGGGCCTGGGGCACAGGAAGCATGGCGCCCCCCTCAACAAAGCTAGATGGGCTAGGAGGAGGGACCAGCTTGGGAAAGCAGAGGACAAATTTCATGTTGGACACATCGAATTTGAGGAGCCAGCTCAGATTGAGAGACCAAGTCTGGGAAAATCCTTAGAGGGCAACATCCACTCCTGTGTGGATGTGGGACATAGCGATCACTCTGCTAAGCCACTGACTGGTGCAATTCCTTGGCAGGTCAAGTCCTACAGAGCTCTCTTCCAGAACAGATGAAGTTGATAGTGATGATGAGGTCAGTGACCCACAGCTTCCTTCTATAACTCACCTCAAACCAGGGCCTTGAGTCAGAGGTCCTGGAACCATCCCAGAGGGACATAGAACTGCCAGTTAGCTCTGTGGGTACAACAGAGGGTTAAGAAAACCAAAGTCATGCCAAGGGTTTGAATCCTACCCCTGTGGGAGACTTAGTTTTATTGTAATCCATCGCCTAAACTAAACACTGACCTCAGACAAAAACTGACCCCTTCCCCTTTCTCTCTTCCCCATTGCAGTAAATGGGGGGAATGCTGGATTTGGAGTCAGAGGGCCTGTGTTCAAATCCTGACTGCCAGTTACTACACGTGAAGCCTTGGGCAAGTTACAACTTCTCTGGGCCTCAATTTTTTTTCATCTGTGAATGAGGGGCCTACTTCATCTCCAAATCTATGATCCTATAAGCCCCAACACACAGTGATCTCTTACTCTGACCAGAGACTGACCCTTAAATCCAACCACAGAGGGACCCTTCACCCCCATCACACACACACCTATCCCCCTACTCTGGTCATAAAGAGCTTTAGAAATAATAACTCATTTTGTCCTCACAGTAACCCTGGGAGGTGGGCTATTGTTATCCCCATTTTACAGATGAAGAAACCGAGGTAGAAATTAAGTGACCTGCCGAGGGTCACACAGCTAGTAAGTGTCTGAGGCCACATTTGAACTCAGGTCTTCCTGACTCCAATTCCAGCATACCGTGCCACTAGACTCAGACTGATGAGTGAACCTGACCCCTAATCTTAATCACACAATGACCCCCCAACCCTAGCAATGGATTGACCCCTGATGGCTTCAGACAGACTCCCTCTCCCACCCTGCCAACCCACCAAATGAATGCTAAATCCTAGCCACAGCCTGGTCCCTCTATCTGGTCATGAGCCTCTACCACATGGGAAACTCATGACCTAAAAGGGACCAAAACCCCTCCCTACTGCTGGGAAGGGGGTAAAAACCCTCAAATTGCCTAGAACATAGGTCAGGAGCACCTGCAGTTGGATTCGGAGGATGCACGTAACCCCTAAAAATCAGAATCTAAACCCCATGCCTTCTTTCTTCTGCTGTTCCTCTGCCTTCACCCCTGCCCCCAAATCCCCCTGCCCCCACCATAACAAAAGGAATACAACCTCCACTCTGGGTGCTTAGCACCAGGAGGAGGCTCAGAGCACAGGTAAACTCTGGACTTTGTTTCCCCGAGAAGCTGGACCTGTACTTCACAGAACCTCAACAGCTACTGGACATTTTCACTCAGCTGGAGGAGCAGAACCTCTCCCTGATTCAGAACTCCCAGGAGATAGAGGAGGCCCTGGAAGAGATCAATGCTTCCATAAGAAACACTCGGAACAAAATGTAGGTCAAGCAGTAATAAGCTAACTAAGGCAAGTGGCTTTCCCCAGCAGCATCCCCAAAGAGAAGATGAGGATGCTTAGCCCAGAGAAGGGAACACTGAGGGTCAGCGGAAGATGGAACAGGGAATCCATATTTGGGGGGTTATCGGGGAAAGGACACGAAGATGATCTTTTAACAGCTAAGGACAATCAGGAAGAAGAGAGAACAGACTTGTTCTGTGTGGTCCCCGAGACAAAACTAGGACCACTTTGGGAGCAGAGAAGGAAAAGGGAGTTCCAGGGGGAGCAAATGTCATTCTACTACAAGGAAGAACTTTCTTGGTCATATAACCTTCCATCTCTGGGCCACACTTTTTCCTCCTTCTATAAAATGAAGGATGTTCGGCTACTAGATCAGCCCTATGGGCTCTTGTGGCTATAACTTTTTACAATTATCCCTTCCACATTGTGACTCTCCCCATCACAGTTTCAATCTATCACGGGTCGGCATAAGAAATTAAATGGGGATTTTGGGGGAGTTTTGCAGAAGCCGCAGATGACAAGTGAAGGCCAGTAGGTGACACAGAAAAAGTGTAGAAACCCAGAAATGAATAAAATAGATGTATAATATTGTGCAATATAAACATATTTATCTTTTAATATCATAATAATTCAGACTTCTCCTCTGGCCTGGGCCAAGGGAGGGCCAAAAAAATTTTGCACAGATTTTTCCAGATCACAAGAACACTATATCCCTGACCCCCCACGATGTAGAAGGGGTAACTATGTTCTAAGGTTTCTTCCAACTCTGACATTCTGTCCCATCTAGCTCTGACATCGGTTTGAAAGACCCTCCCATGCCCATTTCAACTCTGATTTCCAGTTTCTTGGTTCTTGTCTTATCTGTCTGATTGCTCCTTCTCAATCTCCTTGGCCAGATCTTCCTTCAGGTCATGACTGATAACTGTGAGTGTCCCCTAAGGCTTTATCTTGGGCCCTTTTCTCTTTTCCCACTATACTATCTTGTTTGGTGACATCAGTTCCCATAGGTTCAATTTTCAACTCTTCATAGATCATTTCAAGATCCCATAGATCCATATGTCTAAGCTCTAACATCTCCTGACATCCAGACGCCCATCACCAACTGCCTTTTGGACATCTCAAAATGGGTGTCTCGTAAGCATCCCAAACTCAACAGGTCCAAAACATAACTGATGATTGCCATCAGACCCTCCCCCCTTCCCAACATCCTATTACTGTCACAGAAACCACTGTCACCCAGGCTCACAAACTGCATTTCCCCCATATACCCAGTCTGCTGCATCTCTCTCATAATACCCTTCTCATCACTCACAGGCAGCCACCAACCTAGTTCAGACCTTTCACTTCTTGCCAGATAATAGCCTCCAGGTCTCTCTGTCTCAACTTTCTCCCCGCTAGAATCTGTTCTCCACTCAGAGGCCAAAATTATACTCCTAAAATGCAGGTCTGCAACTGTTACCATTCCCTCCCACACTCATACCCCAACTCAGTAAATGCCAGTGGCTCTCTTTTCCCCTAGGATCAAATATATAATTCTCTGGTATGTAAAGCTCTTTCCAACCTGGCCCCTCCTATCTTTGTAGCGTTCTTGTCTTCACTTCCCTCCACACATTCCACAATCCAGCTACAGTCTTACTCAGTGCTCCTCACACATGACACTCCATCTCTAGACTCCTTGATATTTTATTGGCTATTCCGCATGCCAGGAATGCTCTATCTCGCTCTCTCTCTTTCTCTGTCTCTCTGTCTCTGTCTCTCTGTCTCTCCTTAGCACTAACTCCATATTCTTTAAAACTTGAAGAGGGGGGCAGCTAGGTGGTGCAGTGGGTAGAGCACCGGCCCTGGATTCAGGAGGACCTGAGTTCAAATCCAGCCTCAGATATATAACACTGACTAGCTGTGTGACCCTGGGTAAGCCACTTAACCCCATCGCCTAGCCAAAAAATAAATAAATAAATAAATGAATAAATAAACTTGAAGAGGGGTGGTGAGTTCCACATACATCCTCCATCATCTCCAGTCGATCTGATCTATGCCTCTGGACCTGTATGACTCCGGAGCAGAAAGTGAGGCTGGTGACTTCACACAGCCCTCCCTCACTTAAATCCAATTCACTTGCATATCATGGCATCACCTCCCTGATGTCATGGTCCTCTTCAAGAATGAAGGACAAACGCAGCAACAAGAAAAACGGTCTTCTCAGACAACCCTTATTTTTTCTCCTAATTTCCATCCCTTCCCAATTACCTCATATGTATTTTGTATGTTTTGTGTGTATATGTGTTGTGTGTATTGTATAAATTCTTTGAGGACTATACAAGGACTATTTCTGTCCCTTTACCCCACCACTATACACAGTGCCTGGAATGTACACAATACAATTAATCAACTACAGTGATTTTTGATTGATCAGGCAGTGTGCCTTTTCCCTTGAGGTATCAGTCCCACCAGTCTAATCTTCCCACTTTTCAGCGTCCCTACCCCTTACCCTTAAATTGAATTATATATAACCTGTTCATCAGTATCTTTTGAGAGGTGGGGGGGGAGGAGACAGAGACAGAGAGACATGTCCAAAACCAAATCCAATCTGTTTTCTCCCCAATCCATCCTTCCTCCAAACTTCCTTGTTTATGTTTGGTGGTACTATCATCTTTCCAGTTACCCAGGCTTATAAACCTGGTATCATCCCAAACTGCCCTCTCCCGACTTCCCATAGTCAGTCAACTCTAAATCTTGTCCATTCTGTCTTTGCAACATCTCTTGTATACTTACCTTTTTTTCCCCACTCACACAGCATCTACCCTACTTTTTACCTCATTCTCTCTCACTTGGACTATTGCAATCACCTCCTAACTGGTCTCTGTGTTTCCCCCTTCAATCCATCCTCCACACACCTGCCAAATTCATATTCCTAAGGCACAGGCCTACCATGTCACTCCCCCATTCAAAATCCTTTCCTCATTCAAAATGACTTCCTACTGGTTCTAGAATAGAAATAAACTCTTCAGCCTGGCATTTAAAGCCCTCCACAACCTGGCTCCTCACTACCTTTTCAGACTTATTTCTTATTACTCCCCCCACCTTTTCAAGCTTTCTAAATTCCAGCCAAACTGGCCTATTAGCTATTTCTCCAAACTTGACCTACCACCTCCTACCTCAGTACCTTTGCCCAGGCTGTTTCCCATAAGTAGGATGTACTCTTTTCTCATTTCTGCCTCCGAAAATCCCATGCACCACCCCAGTTATTAGTGCTTTCTCCTCTTCAAATGATGGTGCATATAATCATCTATGTATATATCATATACCCCCAGAAGAATGTAAGGAAATTAAAGACAGGGATGTTTTATCGTCTTAGAATCCCTGGCACCTAGCACAATGTTTTACACATAGTATACATTTAATAAACGTTCCTTGTTGTTGAATTACATTGGGGAAACTAAGGTTAAGTTCTGATTAAGAAAACCAGAGAAGATAAGTGACTTTCCCAAAGTCACGTAAGTAGTATAAAGAAGGGAGTATTTGAACTCAAACCTTCTAACTCCAAATCCATTACTCTTTCCACCATATATAGCCTCTCCTTCCAGGGAGTAGCAGACTTGGCCCTGAGCTCCCACCTCTCTCGGTGTCTGTCTCTGTTTCTGTCTCTGTCTCTCCCTCCCTCCCAGGGATCGAGAAATCAACCAGCTCAAGCTGCTGTCAACCACTCTGAAGACCTCCATCGCTAAGGAAGAAGAGATTGCTGATGACCTACAACTCAAAGCCCGTGTCTTCTCTTTTGGCGAGTATAAGAGTGAATACCAGGTAAGTAGCTGCAAGATGGTCCAGGAAGCTCTGGTTTGTTCCAGGAAAGGCATGGGATGATCAAAAGACCCAGAATTAAAATATTGGAAAACCCATGCTTTAGAGGAAGGGGTTGAAACTTCTTTACCCTCCAAGGGCCTGTGAAGGGACAAATAAATGCCTAGGGGATCCACTGGCTAGTGAGAGCCATGGAGGAATGGAAGAGAGAAGAGGGAAATGGAGAAAGAGGGAGAGAGAGACAGAGAATAGATCTACAGAGATGGAGTAAAAAAGAATATGAATGAATACATTTGTGAAAAACAAAGTGCTCGATGTTTGAGTTTTATATTTTTAAGGTAACCAAAGCCTGGGGTGACCTCAGTAATTTTTTTTGAAATGTAAAAGCTAGAGATTTATTGTTATTTTGTGATTAATAAATTGTCAAATTGGCTATGACACTTTCCCACAACTAAATACCACCATTCACCAGTGCAGAAGTTGGTACTCAACCAGATTAAGGAACAGGGCAGAAAGAGCAAACACGTGAATATCATTGGTAACTCAACTTACACTCTTCGTACCTGTGTGTTGCACGTTATTCTCACTGAGGGAAAGGGTCCAAACAGATTAGCAGGGCAATATGGCCTCCACAACCTTTTCTGTAGCAAGCAGTTACCAAAATAATAGAATTGCGTTTCAATATTTCCCTTGATTTTATTTGACCTCAGTAATCTTGCTGAAAACTCTATTCAAAACCCTTGAGTGTGGCTTGTCTTCGCTAACCCTCCTGCTTCTTCAAAAAAATTTTCCCCATGATTTGCCTGAACCTGGCTTTTGAATTGGTCTCATACTTCTTTGTATCAGTGATTTGTCTGATATGTGACCCTGTCCCCTGCGGAGTTGTTAAGTTCCTCCAAGTCAAGGCTGTGTCAATCTCTCTTTCTATTCCCAATACATGTTTCTTGAATGTTGAATATTTGCCTCATTGTAGCCACTACATACCCTACTAACTACTTAGTGGATAAAGGATAAAGGGTGTCATCTTTCCCAAGACAGTAAAGTTCCAAAGCCTGTATCTATCTTTGTATTATGAACACATGGCCGATTGTGTCTGAAATAGCTGAGCATAGAGTGAACTGCCTTCTTGTGAATGTTTGTTGAATTTCATTTCACAAAATTATTTGCCCCAGTTTTGCCTTCCGGATCCAAGTGGACCAAGTACAATCCCTCTTTTCCTCGATAGTCTTTTGAAAATGAAAGTCTTCCCTAGGCTAAACATCTCCAGTCCTGACATTGGATGAACTTGAGGTCCATCATTCTCCTCTGGACAATCTCCAGTTTGTCAATATCCTTCCTGGACTGTTGTACTCCAAACCCAACACCATACCCAAGGCATGGGATCCTCTCCCTTGTACTGTACATGATCTTTCTCTTAACAACTAAGATTGAATTAACCTTTTTTTTTGGCTGCCATGTCATAAGTACTACTGACTCATGTTGAGGTGACACTGCAGATACATGATGCATGATCCCTGGCCTCATAAAGCTTGAAATCTAATAGGAGAGATTGGACAAGTACACACATGACTATGACACAAAGGCATGGGCTGGACTGAGGCCTGGGATGGGTGATGATAGGCTAAGGGGAGTAAGGGGGATCCAAGCCTCTGTAACTGCTGAAGAAGTCAGCTCAGAATATTGGGGATTGGGGGAAACCGAAGCAGGTGGCTACCAGGAAGTGTGAGATTAAATCAATCCCAGGAAGGACCAAGTCTGGATTTAGGTGAAATGGTGGAGTCAGTGGTGAGTATAAGACAGGAGTCCAGCAGGACTTGGAATTCAGCTCAATACAACCAACATGTATTAAGCAACTACTCCCTGTAAGGCACTATGCTCGACACTGGGGATTCAAGACAGAAATCAATTAATCCCTGCACTCAAGAAGCTCACCTTCTCTAGGGAAAATAGAATGCGTACACAGACAAGTGTATATACAAAGCAGGAGAGGGTACTAACAACTGTGAGGTGTAGGAGGAGGCTCAAGATCTCCATTTTGAAGGGAGCTAAGCATTCTGAGAAGAGGATGTGAGAAGGGAGTACATTTCAGGTATGGAGGACTGCCTTGCAAAGGCACTGGAATGGGGGATGGCACGTTGTTTGAGCAACAGCTAGTATGCTAGTATGCCCACTTGACTAGAATTAAGCATGTAAACATGAATGAATCATATACAATAAGACTGGAAAGGCAGTGGGCAGCTAGGACCTGGAGGACTGCAAATGTCAGGTTTGAGAAGTTTGCATTTTATCTTAGAAGCATCAAGAAGCAACAGACTGTGAACAGGAGAACGTGTTTTAGGAAAAGTAATTTTGTAGAGGTCGTCAACATAAATTGTTGAGTTCCTCCGTTGGACTGTGAGCTTTTTGAGGACAGACTTCTTTTGCCTCTTCTTATTCAGTGCTTAGCACAGTGCCTGGCACATAGTAGGTACTTAATGTTTATTGATTTAAACAAGATTTAGAAACTGATTGGATATGGGGGGATGAAGGAGAGGGAAGAATCTAGGGGACTGGAAGAATGGTTGGAGCAATCTGAACAAGTGTGGCAAGATGGGATAGCATGGGTAATCTTCAAAAAACATCTGATGTGTAAGGAAGGCATTGTGCTGGGTGCCATTTTGAAAAATAAGTTGTGAGCATGGGCCAGATGAATGGTCTGACCCATCAGTGCTTCAAGAGATCAAAGGAAGAGATCTGACTTGAGCCAAGCCATGAAGAATATTAGAGTGATATAGATCAGGTGACATGGGAGTGAGGAAAGTTACCAATTGGTCTTGGTTCTATGGCATTGGCAGGTACTGTGACTATACTGCACCACAGGCTGCCAGTGTTTCTTTTTGGATATGGTTTAGACCACCTGGATGGCTGCTGAGGTCTTCTCCAATTTTGAAATTATGTAATTCTGTGAACCTCTGCATTAGATGCACCAAGACTCATAAACTAAAAGGAAGCCTGGAGATCATCTAGTTCAATTTGTTCATTTTAGAGATTCAGAAAATGAGGCCCCAGAGAGAAGTGACTTTCCCAATGGTGTGCAACGAGAAAGGAGCATGACAGGAATTCAGCAAACATTTATTAGCAACTACTAAGTGCAAAGCATTGGGCTAGAGCTAGGCACAGGGGATATAGAAGTGGAAAACTGACATCAAGAAACTAAACGTTGAGGAGGCTCAAGGGTAAGGGGGAAGAGAGGTGTGATAGGACGCATAGAAATAAGTTTTATACAAGGTAGATTGTAGTAGGAGAAAATGAGATTTGGGAGAAAGAGAACCAGGCAAATGGCAGTGAGAAATGTGATGAGGCAAACCCCCATTTCCACAGCTGCCCAGGTCATTTCAAAAAATATACAAATAACACTAATAAGCTAAATCTCATATTAACATGTGGGAGCAGAGAAGTGAAGCTAAAAGAGCAATCCAGGAGCTGATGTCAGGGAGGAATCTGATGAAGAATCTAGGTTCCCTCATCTTTCACCCTAGGGGCTATACAGCCTAGTGACTTTCCCTTTTGTCTTCTTGTTCTTCACCCACTTCCAGAACAACATGTTGGCCAGCCTGAACAAAAAGGTGGTAGAAGTATACCGCCACTGCATTGGGGACTGTGAGTCCAGCCTGGGCACCCTGCAGATGCTCACCATTATTGAGCAACAGCTGGATGAACTCTTAGAGAATCTGGAGAGGGTCCCACAATGGAAGATTGAACAAGTTGAGAAGGCCAAAGAGAAGGACAGAAGGATGAGGTGAGGCTGACTTCATCGGCACAAACACCATGCCTTGAGTCTAAAAAAACTGCCACCATATTAACCCTTCGTGGTCCTCATCCGGACAAGCTTCGTCAATATCCCTTGTAGCATGTCTCCCTGAGTGGAACACAATATTCCTGATGTATTCTAACAAGGTTAGAGGACGGGGGGAAATACTTATCCTCATTCTGGATCCTCTGCTTCCATTAATCCAGCCCAAAAGCACATTCACTATTTTTTATGGCACCCAACAGGCAATACCTTCATTTCTGGACCCTTCCCATTATCTACCCTTGCCTCTTGGTGCAATGTGCCCCATGAGGTGGGGTAGCCCCCAGCTCCAGGGCCTCTGCTCTCTGCTAGGTGACAGTAGATGATGGGAAGTTATCCCAGCCAGTTCTGATCTTTATTTTGGGGTTCACCAATGCATTAGTGCATTTCAGCAAATGTGAAGAAAAAACAGAATTGTCAAGGAAATGGCACCCACCAGATTTACTCTCCCTGGAGGCATCCTTTAATTCCTAAGAACTCTTGCTTCCTTCAAAGCTGTTACAAGAGGCCTTTTCTGATCCAGTTACTAGGTCTTTCCCTCTTAAAATGCCTATTATCTGTGTACATGTTGCTTCCTCCCATTAGAATGTAAGCTCCATGAGAATGAGTTTTTAGGATGCTTGTGTCCCCGACAGCACCAAGCACAATGGCTCACACACAGCAGGCACCTTAAATGGACATTTAGTGACTTGAATTTCCCTCATGTAGCCCTAAGAACTTGGGGAGCCTGCCCCCAGCTCTGCCCTGGACAGAATTTGCTCAGTTTGCCTGGTCTTGAAAGAAACAAAAGTCTGTTTCCCAGCTTCATTTTAAAAATAAGGATTCACTAAATGATTAAGGAGGAAGGAAGTAATACAGGAACAATATGATGTAGAGGAGAGACTCTTAACCTGGGGTCCATGAACTCGCTTTTTAAAATCCTTTGATAACTGTTATTTCAATGCTGTTTCTTTTGTGATCTTAAATATTTTGTCAAGTGTCTGAGAAAGGGCCCATGACACAAAATAAGGTCAAGAACCCCTGGTGTAGTGGACAGAGGCCTGGTCTTGGGGTCAAAAGACCTGGGTTCAAGTCTTACACTTGACATACACTTGCTTTGGGAGTGTAGGGAGCGGGGGCTCCCAAAAGCTTCACCCAGGTCACAGCTTTCAGATTCAGATGCCCGTGCGCCTTTCTAAGAGGCAATCACATGACTGCCCTTTCCCCCAAAGGGGAAAGTAATAGCACCTTGGTACACAGCTTAGACAAAGGTCAGATTGAGGCTTTAACATGGTGCCAACCAATGGCTGAATCCTTTCTCCTAGTTCAGCCCTCCTGCACTGCTGTCCCTTGTAGTGGATCATTGGGGGAGAATCTTTAAACTTCTAATGATCATTTTGATGGATCAAAGACTGCATGGCAAACTTCCAGATCCTGGGGGGAGGGAAATTTGCCATTTTTTCAGGGGGGGGCAGACCTGTAATCCAGGTTTTATAGTGAACATCACGTGAGGAGGGTCCCACTACCCATGGGGACTGGTGTCTGCATGACTTTGGGACTAGTGGTAGTGATGCCTTGGGGAGTACCTCACTGACTCCAAGGCAGACCCTTCCTTTACCTATTGCCTCCCCATACTTCAAATACACCAGACCATTCTGGTGATTCCTCCTATTAGTTCTAGTTCTTACTTAACAACATCTCTAATGTGAAAATATGTTTAATAGGAATGTATACGTATAGCCTATATCAGATTGTGCGCCGTCTTGGGGAGGGTGATGAAGAGGAAGGGGGAGAAAAATTTTAAACTCAAAAGCATATGGAAGTGATTGTGGATAAGTCAAAATAAATTAATTTAAAAAAAAAGAAAAAAAAAGCAAATATACCAGTCCAGCCCTGCACAGTACCCTAGTGAGGTACTTACTTCAATAAAATGGTGGGATATCAGGTACTGGTTGATCTGGGGACATCTGACCAGGACCCCTCCAATCACACCATGCAGGTCATGCCTGATTCATGAGCAGGAAGTGACGGATTGCCAACACACTTAGGATGCTGTCTCAGTTTAAACTATTGTGTAAGGCTGGACATTATCATAGGGGAAACAGGATGGGCATTGAACACTGAGTGGCTCACAATTAGCAGGGGTTTCAGGGTGATGCCAAAGATGCACAAACATGATTTGGCTAAGGCCAAATGGAAACATGGCTCCCTGTCTCTTTGAGAAGGCTGGATTCAGCAAGATGGCTGCACAAGGTGGCCTAGCGCTTATTTGGTGGACACAAGCTGGCTGTCCCAGCATGTCTCTCATCATTGTCCTTTTTATCGGGCAGGCTGAAGGAAGAGAAAATAAAACTCCTCAGAGAGATGCAGGAGGAGCGGCTCCAGAGATCCCTGGCCAGGGCCCAAGCAACTATCAAGAAAAAGGTAGGGAGGAGAGTGTGGGCAGCACTGGGCCAGTCTGGCTATTTGGATGGAGGGTCACACTTGAAGGGGAGGGGGAGGAAAGACAGACAAGACAGAGCATTTCAGAAGACGCCAAGAACAGACTTCAGCTCTGCTCTTGGCCTTCATCTCTTCAGAGGTAAAATCATAAATATCTTTCCTCCACTTTTTTAGCTGGGATGCCCTAGAGGCAAGTGTCTTAGGTTCCATCACACTTCAGAACCCTACTGGGCAATGGTACCTCCAGGCCCACTGTCAAATCAGGATACATGGGATATCACCCCAGGCTCCAATCCCCTGCTCTCTCAGGCCTCTGGGCCTCCTGACGCTGTCCAGTCCATTAAGGCCCCTGCAGGATGCAAGCTCTGTGGAGCCTGCAGGCACAGAAAAAAAATCATCATTTGAAGGGACCCGAGGACATCCTAGCTTAACTGGAGTCCCAATGTGGGAATGCCCTCTGCAGCATTTCTGACAGACCTGACCTCTGCTTGAAAATCCCCAGACACTGGGAATTCCTAGTTAGGTGGTTCATTAATATCATCAGCTCCAACTGTTTAAACTCTCTCTTTGCATTGAGCTGGCACCTGCCTAGGTAAAATCCCTTATCTACGTTTCATTCCCAATCACCCTTCAGCTATGTGAAAGTCCCTCTCCCACCACAAACCTCTGAACTCTCCTATTCTGTAGGCGAGGGCCCTGCATGGTGAACCACCCAGTGACCTGGGAGAATGGCAACAAAACCCAACACCAATGATTTTTTTCCAGAAGGCACTTCACACAATTATAAACATCCCATTTCCCTGAAAACAGAGGTGCCAGGGATGACCAATGCCCTTTAAACACAATGAATAAGCAGAATGGACTTTTAATTGTGCCTGTGCCTGACTCTTGAGTACTTCAAACAGAATTTTTCTACAGGTCTGAGAGGTTGACTGAGACCCTATTTTGAGCAGTGAAGTAGGTCACAGGATCTTCTCATTTCTATCTAGCTACGCCAGCGCCTAAAATGTCTACTTAGGCTCTTTACAGAGTATGGTAAACGGCCTCTGGAAACAGCAATTGCCTCTGGGTCACCAGCTGGGTGCTCCAACTAAGCCCTTCCTTCCTCATTTTTCCTCTGCAGACGGGCAGGAAGCTCATGTACCGCTCGGAGCCAGCAGCCAACAAGACCCAGAGGGAGGAGACTGACAGCAAATACGACAAGGAGAAAGAAGAGCTCCTCTTCTTCTTTACTTAGCCCACACACGCACTAGTGCGAGCGCACATACCCACACACACACCCACGCCCCCATGGAGCTGGCTGACATGTAAACAATCAAAGCAAACAGACCGTCCTGGTTTACTTGTATGATTTAGTCGCTCTGACCCCTTTCCCAGTGTCCCTGGACATGTGTTCTTTCTGCGCTTGTATCTGAACTAAAATAAAGGTCCGTGCTCCTTTTGGTTGTGCAAGTAGGCCCCTTCAAAGAAGCTGAGATTCTGTTATAAAGTCTGGGGGTCCTTTCTTCCTCCTCTGTAATAAAACCACCTTTTCCTAAGAGTTCTGTAAAAGCAGCAGGGACAGAACAGAAATGATGCCTTAAGCTACACTATTCAAGGAGGAAAGGCACTAGAGGAAGAGTCAGTGAATGGGAAAGTTATTCCCAATCCTGGGCAGATAAATTTTCAACCCCCAGGCGTCACAGTTCCTTGTACTAAGTCACGTAAAACCGCAAGTGCAAAACCATTAAAAAAAACAACTTTATTAATTCATCTGCACTAGGGGTCACGTCCATTGCCAGCAATGAACCTCAAAGCCAAGAAAAATCTGACCACTAGTCAGTATGTGTCCCATGTTAGTGATGCACACACACACACACATCTCATAAGCCACAGCCACAAGCCTCCCAAGAGGGAGCGTCCCTGACAGGGTGGGAAGGAGCCCGGGCTGGTAGAGGGCATGAATGGGGACATTCTCTGACCACACTGGCATCAGCCAGCGGCCAGGGAGGCAACATGCAATTCCATGAAGAGGAATGCCCGAAAGGAGGAGGTGTACATGAGGGCACGGACCGCTGGAACTGGCTCAGAAGGGGTTTCGGGGAGCATGGACAGCAGGGCAGACGAGGAGTCGCAGTGGTTTGCTGGAACTGCTCCAAAGAGCACAAGTCTAAAAATTCAAGAAATGTAGAGTAGGAGTAATCTGTATTCCTTTCAGGTCTGAGAAACAAAACGGCATTTTTACACAAGCATAGACTTCCAAAGGCACAAGAAAAAAAAAAAAAGCATTTCTGAACGACCCTGTGTGAATTCCATAACTGTAAATAACAAATAAATATGTGCAAGGTTATAAACTCATGTCCTTTTGTATGACATGGCTTTCTTTGTAAAAAATACTATTTATACATATTATACAAAGCATATTTTTAGACCTCACGACAGGAAAGGTACACAAGCCATACTATTATTAAGTCCTATACATAATTTTATAGGCATTCAGGACACACTTTAGAAACCACCGTCAAGTGACCAACAAATGTAAAAATCCAAATGCAAAATTTAATTTTTTAAAAGGTAAACTCTATGGCCCAAATTTTACGTGGCGTATGAAAACCAGGATGGCCACAAGCCCACTCCCAGGTGCACTTCACGGTCCTGCTTTTTCCTCTTGTTCCAAACAGGCTGATGCATACTGAAGGGATGTCACACAGCTGGAAGTCCGCACCTCCTCACCCGCCAGGGCTGGGGTGCAAGGGAGCGGCCAGTGCTGCTGAATATTGGAAGCTCACCTCCGGCCCCCAAGACGAGATAGGGCCAGAGACTGCACACAGACAGAATCCCAGGTCCTTGGCGCCACCACACTGGGGCTCACACCTTCACTTCCTCATGACAGCTTGGGCAGCCTTACGCTACAGCACAAGTAACGCCATGTTGAACACGGGCAGTGCAGCAGAGTGGACAGAGAGGCTGGACTTGGAATCAGGAAGACATAGGTTCAAATGCTGCTGTGACACCCTCTGGGCCTCAGTTTCCTCCTCTGTAAATAAAGGGGTTGGCTTAGACGGCCTCTTGGGTCACTCTCAGTTTTAATCCTACACAGTTCAAGTACTTGGAATATGGATGTCCCCAGGGCATCCCTTAATGGGAAGAGCCAACCAACACATGTGACAAGGACAGATGGATGGAACGCCTCTCCAATGACTAATCCAAGGACTTGGAGTTTTGTCTCTTCTCTATCAGACGACAATCGCCTACAGCTTAACGAGGGCTTAGGGCGTGCCGTCTCTCAAGTAAAAGGTCAGCATCAGCATCAGTGCACCTTCTTCCCTTCTAGTCTAAGCACCCAGAGACAGTCTCATATTTACTGACTGACCTAAATCTTTGCCTCCTCTCAAAAGTTGTCATTTTTTTAATGCAACAAATGATTTGTGGATCAAGTTCAACAATGGAAAGGCAGATTCACAAACCAAAGTGGTGAAAGTTACTGGATCAAAGTGCTTTAGCGTAGCCCTTCTAGTTTGCAAGGCAGCTTCATACAACCCAACCCAAGGGACCCTTTCCTAACAGTCCAAGCAGAAGGCAAACAATATCTATTGATACATCCAAGAGTCCTTTGAAGAAATTCTCTGTGTGGAACCAAAAAACAAGCTGCATTAGCTCCAATATTTTTTCACATTTTTTTTAAAAATTAAATTAAATTAAGCTCAGGAAACATCTTTTCCATTTTCCATAGCACGATTGCACTCTTTGTATCCCTCCCCACCCCAAAGCAATATTAATAGTCTCATTCTAGGTCCTGCAAGTTTATTGTGCTTCCTGTGAACTGTGAGTTATCAGAACCAGCATCGTCCTCAGTTGAAGTGTGTGGCTCCTACAAAACCAAAACAGAGTGAATGCCAAAATTAGAAGTGTTGGGAGTTCCTAAAGAATGTTCATCTCAAATGAAATGGGAAGGCTTGGGGAAGCCTGGAAGTCCTTCCCTAGGCAGTTGGAGCACACTCACCATTCTCAGAGACTCTCAGGCCTCCAAGAGTTGACCGGGCATGGCATTTCTTTTGTTTTTACTACTGACAAAATGCAACAGATAACTAATCTGAAGGTAGCAAGAAACTGAAATGAGAATTTTGGAGTGAAAGAACTACTTGGAATTTTTAAATGTGAAAAATAAGCATTTGTCAGAAACTGAGTTAAGTTAAACTTAAGGTAATATATCCAAGTTGCTGATCATTTATTTACATACGCATAATTCATTCTGAATTTTCTGTTCCTAGTCCAGCCAATGACTTGGGCAAATTAATCTGTTTCCTTTCTCTTAAAAATAGTCACTACTGGTCAAATCAGCTTTCTACATTAGAGTGAGATCGTGAAAACTGCAGGGAAGAGCAACTGCCATTTGTAAATATAAATATAAGTGTGTGTGTGTGTACATATATAGACACACACACACACACACACACACATATCTGTAAATTTTAAAAGTCGTTGTATTTATACTATAAGAAACAGAACTCTTTATTTTCTTTACTGGAATGTACCAGTGATTGCCAAAAGATACAAAGGACCTATGAAAACAAGCAAGATCCTTTTATCTTCTGAAAAATCATCAAAGCTCCTTGCTATCAGACACTTTAGTTTTAATTAACAGCTAATGTTGGATACTAGTTGTAAATCAGTTATCTTCTCATCTAATTTGGCAATAAGACAAAGGTTCTAAAAAAAAATCATACCTGAAGTATATGTACTGGTAAATCCACAGTAAGTTGAGAATGTGATGTGGAAGACTGAGAGCTGAGCTGAAATGGTGAGTCTCCATCGCCAGGGGGATCATCCTAGGAAGAGGTAATCAAGGAAAGTCTTTAAAACTTCACGCGCACTTCACCCACTTTAATAATCTCTCCTCCATCTTTTCATATGCGACCATGTTTATCGCTACCCAACTGTAAGTCAGAAAATGCCTTTCCCTTCACAGACGACTCCCAACTGTCCCCTGTTCTCACAACCATGCCTCTGGTCTGCACAGGACCCAAACACTCTCTATCTAACTTGCTCTGCCAAGTGTCTGGTTTGTCCAACCCGAGAAGACTGTCAGGTTTCGAGTAGCTGCAGGAGAGAGGACAGGCCCAGACACCAGTCATAACGGGATGGGCAGCATGAGGTTTCAATCAAACCAGTTATTATGAGAAAAGTTCCCTGTTCCTCGAACTCCAACATCCCAGCATCCCAGCCTAGAATGTATAGAGTTCTCATCTCTACTTCCTAGAATACATCTTTCCTTCAAGGTTCAACTCAGAGACCCTTTCTTCCAGGAAGCCTTCCCTGACTTCTCTCACTCAGCTGTTGCTACATTTTCTCCCTGCCACATTATCCTCTAATGACTTATGCTGAGTTCCCCAAATAGAATGTAAGCTCTTTAAAGGTAGTGGCTATTTCTCTGCTTTGTACCCTGGCACTCAGCAAAGTGATCTGAATCTGTGAGTGCTTCAAAGTCTGGTGACTTCCATGAGGGAAAAATGTCTAAGGTAAGAGATCCTTCTGCTGGCTCTACATTACCCTCAATCTAGAACAATTTGTGCTGTGTCATCAACAATATAAAAATGAGCTACTTGGAAAGAGTGAAGACCTCTGCTCAACACAGCGATCCATCAAGATTCCAAAAGATCCACGATAAAGTAAATGTGCAACAGACACACATTTTTGAACATGGACAATATCAAAGTTTGTTTTGCTTGACAATACTTACTTGTAACAAGGGTTTTGTTTTTATTTATCTTTTCAGTTGGAAGGACAGAGAAAAAACAAATGCTTAATATTTGGGGAAAAAAATGTAGTTTAACTTTTCCCAATTCCTATATTAACTTTCTCCTGACTTCTCTCTACTAATCTACTTTAAAATTCTTTGAATGAGCTCTTCATTCCCACTCCTCTCTCCTCTCCCCATATTTACCTCATCATGGCTCCCACACACATTTATTTTGATGCTCTGGAAGATCTAGGAAGCATTCTTTCCACCAACACAGACTGTACCCTCTCCATACCTTTGCACTCTATGCAAAACTTGTCTATTTTCCTCAATCTAAGCAGTGAACCAGAGGAATCTCTTTTTCCTTTAGGACCTTGAGGACACCAATATATTTCAATTCTAGGTGTCCCTAAGTTGTCTCATTCTCATTATACTTTTTTTTGTCTTGCAAACAAGTCATCACTGATAACATGCTTTCGTAATAATCTCTTTCATATTTACTAAGAATAGGGGCTTAATACAATCAGTACAACGTGACCTGTGAAGAGCAGCATTTGGAGAACATCCCTTCACTGAAAACCCTTTCACCAGTCTCCCACATCTGCTCAGGCTATCCTGTGGTCTTCTCTGCACTCTACCGTTGTCTGCTTCCACACACTGAATCATTCTCTAGGTCAATGGAAAGCTCTGGGTGACTGAGGGGCCTAGAGCCCTTTCCACTGGCAGAGTGGAATAACAGGCCCAGCTAACACTTGTATCACACTTTAAGCTTTGTCACAAAGCATTTTGCGTAAATCTCTCCAGTTATGGACAACCATGTAGAGCAGAGGATACAGGTATTATTAGCCTGATTTGACAAATGGAGAAGCAGACTCAGGAGAGGTTAAGTCGCCGCCTGGCCACACCACTGGCAGACTCTGGTGATGTGACTCCATGGTGCCCTTTCATGGGCAATCTCTGTGCAGAGCAGTAACAGTAATGGCTGGCACTGACACGGGGGGTTCTGCGCTACCATCTCGGAAGCTCGGCTCCTAGCCCAAAGCTCTACCACTCCACTGCCCGGCCTCCGCAGCCTCAGGTCAGCCTGCAGGCTGGGCGTGGAGCAGAGCGGCCCAGGAGCACATCAGAATTAACGAGTGAGGAGTTCTCTCACTTGTCCTCTTCCTATCACTGCAGAGTCCTCCCCATTAGGGGGCTCGGTGTTACTCAGGTGAAGTAGGGAAGGCTGGAGAGCGATCTGGAATTGTGCCCAGAGAACGGTAAAACCACCTATGCTAAACCACTACTAGGCCCGTTCCCCAAGGTGAGCAGGGAGAAGGAGAAAAGCCTGTCTGGTCTATGACATTTACAGCAGCTCCCTTTGTGACGGCAAAGAACTGACCTTCCATCAACTGGGGAATGACTAAACGAGTTGTACAGGACCGTGATGGCGTACTACGGCACTCTAAGAAATGATGAGTCGGGTGATTTTAGAAAAACATAGAAAGATTGCATGAAATAATGAAAAGAGAAATGAGCAGAACCAAGAGAATGCTGGACACGGTAACAGCAATATTGTTCGAAAAGTAATTGTGAACAACCAAGTTATTCTGAACATTATAAATACTAAATAAACTACAAAGGACCTATGAAGGAAGATGCTATCCACCGCCAGAGAAAGAACAGAAGTATAAATAGTATGATTTTATATATATATACACATATATAAATAAATGAAAATCTGTGTCAGACAGTGGTCTTCTCTAGCGCAGGGTGGGGAGGGAAGAGAGGGAGAGAGTTCAGACATTAAAACACAACCAATAAATAAATATTTTTGGGGGAGGAGGGGGAAGGAAGAAAGAAAGAAAAAGAACAGCTAGGTAGCACAGTAGATAGAGCACCAGACCTAGAGTGAGGAGGACCCGAGTTCAAATCTGCCCCAGACTTTTGACATTTATCAGCTGTGTGACTCTGGACAAGTCACTTAACCCCAACTGCCTTGCAGGGAAAAAAAAAAAAAGGAAGAAGTGGAGAGCCTCCTCTAATGATAATTTTGTCACTAAAAAATTAGAACTGGTAGTGACTGGAACTGCTATTCTAAACTCTGATTCTAACAATCAAGGAAGAAATGGTCACTACAATAGAAATTATAAGAATTTAAAGGGGGTAAAGGGGACAAGTGACCACTCCAGCATAGATAGTTTGCATATATGACCCTGGGCAAGTCGTTTAACCTGTTTGCCTCAGTTTCCTCCTGTGTAAAATGAGGATAGTAATAGCACCTACTTTGAAGGGCTGTTTTAAGATCAAATGAGATAAAGTCTGTAAAAGCACTTAGCACAGTGCCTGGCACACAGTAAGCACTATATAAATGTTAGCTATTAGTTATCAACTGTCAACAGACAAAAAGATAAAAGCCAAATATAGTCTGACATGCTTCCTAGAAGACCTTGTGAGAACAGATTTCAAAGGGTTTACACAAAGAATAAGTAGGATCCAATGGCCTCACAAGTTCTCTAAACACATCAATTTATTTGTTCAAAGAAATAACCTATCAAGTCAGATTTTAAAGATGGAAGGAAGGAGCAGCCGCTGAGGACCAAGCCCACAATGGAGCAGGTTCTTCCAAGGACTGGAGCACGAACATCAGAATGATCCCGCATTGCCTGTCTATGCTGAGGCTAACAGAAAGGGGGCAGGGGAGCCTTAACCATGCTAGAGGTTTAACTACACACCAGGTTTAAAGAAGAGATGGGGGGATGATAACAGATGACGGTAAGAAGGCTCAACTACTCAACTGTTATTTTGCCACCATTTTCCCCTTCAGAAAGAATGCTCTCTGGGCTGGAAGGGACAAAACAAAACTAATTAACAAGAAGTTAAAACTGAAGATAAATAAGAAGATTTTATTTCAACATCTACTTGCCCATAATGAGCAAATCACCAGGCCCAGGGAACTCACAGAATCTCTGAAGTGAAAGGAACGTCAGAAGCCAATCAATCCATGTCCATTTATTGAGAGCTCACTATGTGCACCAAGCACTATGCCAGGCACTGTGAATTCCAAGACAAAAAATAATCCTTACTTTTAATGAGCTTACATTCTATCAGGGATCTTACATTCCACTCCAACCCTCTCTCTACAAGGTAATTGGTCATCCAGCCTTTGACTGAAGACCTCAAATGAGGGAGAACTAACTATATTGTTCGGAAAATAATTGTGAACAACCAAGTTATTCGGAGCATTATAGATGCTCAGACTTTCCATTAGACCCAAAGAGTAGTCATTACTAACTCAATGTCAACTTGGATAAAAATCTAGTGCAGTGTCCCAGGGATATGTGCCTGACCCAACACTTGTATTAATAACTTGAATGAAGTCAGGAATAGCTAACATATTAGATAGCAGTCAGGATCCAAAAAGATGCTGACAGGCTAAGGACAGACATACTTCTCATCATTTGAATAAGTACAACAAGGGGGAGTTATGGTTAGACAACACTTCCTGTCAAAAAGACCTAGGTGAGCACATGAGCCAAGATGACAAAGGATGGGAAGTCAATGCCAGGCGGGTTAGAGAACAGTAAGAGTGCATTACTACAAAGCTGGTGGAACTCTGAGCTGCTGTGGCCATTCTGGAAAGCAAATTGGAATTATGCTAAAATCAATGGCTAAAATGTTTGACTCTTTGACCCAGGGATCTCATTGCGAGGTATGTATCCCAAAGAGGTAAAAACACACACACACACACACACACACACACACACACACACACACACACCTGCTATAGTCACAGCAACACTTTTTTGTGGAAACCAAAGGACTAAAAACAAAGTAATTGCCCATCAGCTGAGTAATGACCAAAATCTTGTGGTTCATGAATTTTACTGTTATTATTATTACTAAGTAGTAAGGTATGCCTGCAAAGAACTGAGAAAAGTATTAGAAGACTTAAGTGAACTAATACAGAAAGAAATGAGGCAAAACCAGAAAAACCACGGCGGACTCTAACAGCATAAGCTGTATCTCCCCTGCTGGCACGCGGGACGAGGAGATAATAAACAGTGGTTGAGTTGCCTTTGGCGCGGTGCATGATAATCACTGACTAATGGCATAACAAGTATCTTTGATCTCTGCTTTCAAATTCTTCTGGACTATATGACACTATCTCATTTCTCTTCTCAAAATGTTCAGAAATGCAATAGAGATTTTTGAGGAGGCAACGGAAAGATGCAGCATATTGCCACTAACAAAAACTTATGCTCCTGGAGATGGTGCCAGAAAAAAAAAGCAAGCAAGCCTGGAAAGAGGGGACCAGTCCCGCACGCAGAATGTCCGTGATTATCCACAGAATGTCAGAGGCTTTGGAAGGAGTCTCTCTCTGGACAGAGCCTCCTGGAGAATTTCTAGGACAGGGCGGTCACTGAACAGAATGAAGAGGCATGGGTGGACTGCAACCTGCACTGGGGGAGCATGTGTGTAGAGAAATACCTAGAAGCAGAAAGCGGGGCATTTTATCTGATGCTGGTGCTCATTTACTACTTCTCAATACAACCTAAGCTTCACCTACACTTCAGCTCCCTGACAAACGTCTGGGGCTCATCTCTCTCTCACTCATGCGCTCTTACCTGCAATAACTGAATCTGAACAAACTGAGCGCCGGTGGCCGGGTCTCGCACGGCTAAGCCTCCATTCGGCACTACGATACTTCCACATAACCGACTGCTAGAGCTTGTGGAGAAATCAGTGGGGCTCACTTTACCACCTTTTAATTTCCTTTGAGTTGATCCTGATGACCCTGAAACAAAGTAGACAAACCAACAACTTTAGTATGCTTGTATACCCTTTACTTAAATCCGTTCACGTCCTTCATAGAGTCAGAAGAGAAACACTGCACGACAGCTTTTCCTAGACTTTAAAATATCCCAAGAAGTCAGTCTAGGTGCCTAAGAAGAAACCTCCCAATGCTTTGACATTACACGTAGCTTGATTTTTTTACTAACCAGAGCAAAACGGAATGTTTCCTGCCATCTCTAATCCTTGGATAAATTCAGTGATTTCATCAGTGCAGATGCTCATTCCACAAAGGATGCGAGTACGTTTTCGAGTCTCTGTGGTCCAAAGCTCCTCCCCTGGTGGCCAAGCTTCTGGTGAGGAGCTCTCTGAATCTCCCCACCTCCCTGGGGCTGTACTCAGAGTCCTTCTGGCTCAGGCTATGCCAGAGGCTGTGCTACTCTCAGCCTTCAACACCCTATAGGCCTGCCTCCCTGCCAAGCCTTCAGGTGGTTAGTAGGAATTTCCGCTACTATAGTTATGTGTGTAAAACTGGGGAGGCTAAAGATGGCTAAAATATAGAGTTACTAGGGCAACTGAGCATTCGTTTTTTTTCATTCGCTGTTTCAACTATTTACCAGAAGAGAAAAGAATTAACAAGTCATACACCCACACTGTTGGGAACAAATTTACTTTTAAGCTCAACAGTGCCAATTTATAAAAAAGTCATTGTATCAGGAAAACTCAATCTTTTGGCCACTTATTTCTGGAGGAGGTGGTCAAGTCTCTGAGATTTCACTTTGTATGGGCAACTTCCAGAATGGAAATTCCTTCCACCAATTAAACCTGACAACCTATTTGCAACTTATAGTTTTACAGAGTTGCTTGAGGCACTAAGGTGTTAAATTACTGGGCTAGGGTCTCACTTGGCTAGTACACATCAGAGGTAGGCCTAGAACCCACATCTTTCTAATTCTGAGACCAGCCCTCTATACCATATATAGCATGATGCCTCTCACATTTACTTTCACTTAAGCAACACAAAAAGTAGAAAGAACTGAACTTAAAAGCATGAGTCTTATGAAGCGAGCTAGATTTTTCAGTTATGCTGCTGGTAAGGAAAGAGAACTTTCTGTGTATCCTTGGGAATATCACCCAGTCTCTAGGGACCTTGGTTCCCTCCCAATGAAATGAAAAAAGTAGATTCTATGACTTGTGAGGTCCTTCCCTGCTCTAAATTCTATGACTATCTTTAAGACTTTATTAAGCAATGCTGCCCACCCCCTGACAGAGGTGATGGACTTAGGGTACAGAATGGGACATGATCATTGTGGGAATTTGTTTTGCTTGACTATACACATTTGTCACAAAGGTTTTGGTTTTCTACTTTTCCTCCAATTAGAAGAGGAGGATAAGAGAAAGAAAAAATAGATTCAGTGAAAAAAAATTAATCAAAAAGTTTTTATTAAGTATGCAATGCTATGTGGATGTTGTTTCTTAAAACCACCAGTAGATGGCATTATTAGAATGTTTCTGTGGACAACACTTTGGTTTCCCATTTAGCCAGGGTACAAACCTGAGGATTGCCACAAGCCTTAGCCTATTCTGAGTCTGAAGAAGGTTAAGTCAGATGAGTGCCAGGATGGGCTACAGCTTTGTTACTGACAAACTGGCTAAAAACAGACCTGAAATCAGGCTCCTTAAGCCTTATGGCTGGGGATAAATCAGAAAGGTCCTAACCTCTCCTAGGCATTAAAGACTAAATATGTATAATATTTGCCAAAGGAGCCAAATGCAGAATCTTGCTTCCATCATTGGGATGTCATTAGGGCTGAGTTATTCTCCATGGTCAGGGACAAACCCAACCATCTTTCACTTCAATATACTGTACTATCCCATCAAATGCACATTTAACAACCACACACACTGCCCTGGAGTAATGGCCCCCTGACCCCCTCCAGCACCCACTGCCATGCCAGGTGCAGGATTTTGAGTTCTTAGGGCTTCTGTGCCCTTGGGCTTTAATTCATCTGAAAACATAGAAACATGAACTTCTCACCCAGCCCTGATGTTTAGGTGTGTTTGGACCCCTGGTCACAGCCTTGGAGACAGCAGTATGCCCTGTGGATAATAACACTGGGGGCAACCTTCTGTTATCACAGCCTCATCCGGACCCTTTGTGATCGGGCTAGGAAATGCTCAACCCCAAAAGCTGGAAAGTCTTTCCCATACTTTAAACCCTTGCTTTGCTCTTCATTATTCCCCCTGTGGCCACTGGGTTTGGAGAGAGTTATATACCATCCAAATAAGTAAGTGATGAGTTTTTAACTCATAAAAAATGGTGAACGCACGAGTGAAGACTGAAAAAGCATTAAACTAATGACTGAAAGGCAATAACTAGAAATGTGTGCATATTAACAACAATATGTTTCAAGTAAGGACCCTCCGCCTCAATGTGCTGCTCAAGCTTCCAGCAGAAGACATACAGCCTTCTAATAACAAGGAATTCCAATTCAAAGTCAATCAAATTTAAGGGATTTTTAAAAGGGTAACTGACCACACGTGATTTTTGCCTTCCACACTGACTTTAGAACCTCACACTCATGTAAAACGTGACTCTGCTGCATTCTCTTCCCTGGAGGATACAGTGTACGATGGTGATGGACAGCAAGCCAGGTTTGGCCAGGATGCAGAGAGAAAGAGAGTGAGTGTACAGTGGTAGTGGTGGTGGTAGCAGCAGCAGTACTAGCTGTAGCCATAATGAAAGTAGCAGCAGCAGCAGCATGCCCTGGGGCCAGGCCTGAAGATGCTGCTGCAGATTTCTGAGTTAGAGCAGAATGATGCCTAAGCAAGGTAAGTCTCACTGCAGCTGGAGTGTAGTCAAGGGGAATCTTCAGGTGGAAGACCTGTGAGGACTGTATGCCATAGGCCAGGCAGTTAGTAACTGAGCCCTCAGAGCACTGAGCAGGTGGTGGAAGGAGGAGAAAAGACAGTGGTGGGAAGGGGGGAATGTACACGCTGCTCTCTTGGCAGGGGAACGGAGAAGAGGGAGCTACATGTTACTCAAGCAGCTCATGTGCCTTTCTTTGACTTTTAAAGTGATGTCCTTCAGGACAAGGCACTTTTCTCTCTGAACCTCAGTTTCCTCATTTGTGAAATAGGGATATGAATTTAATTTGCACAAATGTCTATATAAAGTGCCTATGTGTGCAAGGCACAGTGCATACAGAAATGACAAAGTAGCATTCCCTGTCACAGGGCTCACCATGCATAAATTATGGCACCATCCCCTGGAAAGGCTGTTAAGAGGACCACACAGCGAGAACCAGAGCAAGGAGAGGGCTAAGTTGGGTCTCTCTGGCCCCTCTAAAATAGGAAGGACTAGAACCTCCATGCTCGATTCTACAACAGAGTTCTTCCCCTGCGACATCAGCCTGCCACTAGCATTGCCTCCCTGGGTGAAGCAGCTGAATTAGATGAAAACAAGCCACGGGATGGCAACCTAGCAGCTATGTGCCATACGCCAGGAGTGTATTTCATCCACGAAATTCAATGAAGACGACCTCTGCTGTGTCACTGGTTTACCTGTAGAGAAGGGCCCTCCCCCTCTGTCTACACAGTTCTGTGGCAAGGGTCAGGTCTGGAGAAGGTGACTCAGTTGCTGAACAACACTGAAGGACAGCTCTCCCACTACAGAAGGATTCACTGCCAAGTCCTGAGCTCTATAGGAATAACAACTGGTGGGGTTCACCCTCAACTTTTCAGGGAAGGGACCTACACTTCAGCCAAACTCTGAAACAGATGAGAAGGGCCTTTCTAGATTTCGAAATAAAACAGGCATACTGATCTAGGCCCTGGACAGTCAACTGGCTCTTTCCCCCGCAAATAAAGGTATGCTCTCTTAAGGCAAAGCCCATGCGATGTCTCAGCTCCCATCACCCAGGGCTGGCGCACCTGCCTCCTGTTCAAAGAGGTGTCTCAGCATGAGGGGGCAAGAACCACAGCTCCTGCCTCAATTAGAGGAGGAGCTTCCCCATTTGTGAGCCTGGAAGGGTCCCTGCTCCCCAGCACTGGGCTTTGAGAACGAAAGCCCAAGGACCGCAGGACAGACAGTGCTTGCTGCCTCCAGCTGATGGAGCCTCCCACAGCACCAAGGACTCCGAACCTTAACAAGGCTACCAGGCCGGAGAGAGAAGGAAGAGTTCTCTCTGCTGCTGCCTGGAGCCCAGGAAACCACCACCATCCCAACAAAAATAAAACACACCTCAGTGATTTCTTCAACCCCGAACTAACCTTGAACATTTTTTAAAACTACTGAACCACAGCCAACCTAAACACCAAAGTATTCTCTGAACTGCACCCATTCAAATATGAGTACTCGAGAGCAGGCCTGGTCTCACTTTCCTCTCCAAACTCCTGATGCCTCAGAGGGTTTTGTACATAGTAAAGTGCTTCAAAGGTGTCTTTTCCGTTTATTCCCGAGCCAAATCCTAATTCTATATGGTCTCCCTGCCCCAAATCTTTCTCCTTCATCCCACCACCAGGGGCCGGGGCTCTACTTCCTGTGCACCCAGGGTATGGATGCTGCTCTGGCTCTCCCCACATATACAGGTCCGTAGAGCCCCTTCTCCCCACAAAAATCCTTTTTACAGAGTTTTAGACACGTGCAATATTGTGAGATGCAGGAAAAGAAGAACTCTATCATAAAGATACTTTGCCTTAAATTCCAAAATTACAGAACAAAATCATTAGAGATATTTCAGAAGGATGTTTCCTCCTACCAAAGGATTCACAGCGAAGTCTCTGTGAATACTGAGCTTCACTAGTGATGTAGGGTGACATGATTTACCCTCAACTTTTCAGAAAGTGAAATAAACCTACACTGAATTTTGAAAGAAATGTTAAGCATTTTGCAGATTTTGAAAAAGACATTCTGCCATAATACAGGATTTGGACAGATATCAAAAGGAGATCTAACTACTGTAAAAGCCATTTTACTCCAAATAGATGGCTGCAAAATGACCCACCATCCACTGAGAGGAGACTTTGATCTAGAAGTCCCACTGGCACTGGCAGGGCCAGCGGGCATGGGGGCCACACCCTTCTCACCTGTGCTGCTTCCCGGCCCTTTCTCTTTTTTTTTCTTGACTAGCTGAATGGCTCGATAATCAGTTCTTGCTGAGCCCCCACTTTCCTGAGACCAAAGAAAAGTTTGTCAGTCACTCGATCTAAACAACAAAGGAATGAAAAAAAGCAAGGGTAGCAAAGTATAAGTTATGGAACTTATTTGTTACTCAAATAAAATTAGACATTACAATCTTCTTACAAAAATAATGCCAAGACTCCAAATGAAAGCCCCAAATCTCACATTAGCACACAAGAAACCCAAATTCATATCAGACCATATCTGCATATAAATGGGGTGGAAGAACACCTCAATTAACCAGCTCTGCCAGGAAAAGAGGGTCCATAAATACATGTATTTTACCCCCTTTAAATGGGATGATCAATTCATTTAACCACAGAGACAGGGATTGGACCTTTAATTTTATGTTAAAGGGAACTCCCAGGTGGGGAAACTCCCTCTTACCAAAGCACAAATCGTGTAACTTTAGAGGCCAAGACCTGTCCAGAGTCCTGACAAGCAAAGTAACTCTCGGTCCTACGGCCAAGCTGTGACCCTAGGCCTTCCTAAGCTTTAGGTGGGCAGAAATCTAAACCACAGCTCATGCCTGTGTGTCTGCTTAAAGAAAGGACACTGCAGACACTGAGGGTCTTCCTGGTGACCAGGTTATCCCTAGGAACCTCCCTGACTAGACTGGGCTGTAGGTTAAAAAGAACCCTGAGCCATGAAGCCAGGTCGGAACGTCTGCCCAAACTAAAATGGCTTGTTATGGCTTTTTGTGGTTTTTCAATCTCTTCTTTTGATGTCACTGTTACTGCTCCCCAGTTACCCAATGTCCACTACTCCTTCTTCTTTGCTGATTCTAATTCATCTGCTATGATCAAGGAACCCAAATGACAAAGTTTGTCAGAGATGTGTTTAAAATATAAGTGAATAGGAGGGCAATGGGAAGAGCTCTGCTGTCAGCAAAGAGGAGAGCATAACCGTGCAGCACATAGTAAACGCTACAGAAACGTCGGCTATTATTATTGTCATTACTACCGTTATGGGTTGCCTGCTGGTTTTTTAAAAAGTATCTCCTAGTTCTCAGCCTTGATCAACAGGTGAAGCTGCCAGACCTCTGGAAAAGTGAAGTCTCATAATGTTGTGTTAATTAAATGATGAGACAAACAATTGAAAATTTCTCATTCCATTTCTCCACTGTCTTCATTAGACAATATGATTTAAAGCAGAAGTTATCTTAGACACCACCTAGGCCAACCTTTCATTTGAGACAGGACAAAAATGAGACTCACGTCCCATAGATACTGAGTGGCAAGAAATGAGACTGAAACCCAGGTCCTGTGGTCAGTCGAGTCCTGAGCAGAAGCCAGGAGGCCACGTGAGTCTGTGCAGAGTAAGTGGGAGGCAAACTCTGCTCAACTCCCCGGCAATGACCAGAAACAGGAAAAGTGCTCCAGAGGACAATGAGGAACCAACCTGCAGCAGCAGGACTTTCTGTCAAGGCTCCTCACCCCTGAGAAACACCCACAGTGAACTGCTCGGGACCTCAGTTTCCCTCCCTGGGCACAGTCGCTGCCGAAGATCTCGGGGCAGTTAGGTCCCTTTCCAAGGTGGGGGCAGACTTAGCATGACTATCAGACCTTCAGTCTATAGCTGCCAGAGTGAACAACAGCTGTGCACTCTTCCCAATTCAGATAGTTAGGATGTTAAATGCCTCCAAAAATATTTGGTTATTTTTTTTTTGGCAAGAGTCTATTTGGAATAAATCAGGTCTTAAGGTTAAATATTTCTAAAACTTTTCATGAATACTCAAAAGCCCACAAACAATATTATGTGTTCCTTTATGTTTTCTCATTATATTCCTTCATACCCAATTTAAGATAAAGTCAGTAATTTGACTTTTTAAAATTATTCGCACATGGTAGTTTCCCCCTTTAAGGGAGGGCCTCTTAACCTAGTGTGAGGGAACTTGTTTTATCTTGAATATATAATTAGATAAACCAATAGATTTGATTTTTTCCATAAAGTTATGTATTTTGTTTTATACATTTTAATGAGAAAGGGGTCCCTGGCCTCTGCCAGAGGCTGGCCAATGGCTGTCGCCCAACGGGTGCATCACACAAACAAGGTGAAGACCCCTGCCTTAATTAAGGACTTTTCAGAAAGACAATGCTGTCAAGTACAAAATAAGTGTTTGTGGAGGTGACACTGAGAAAAGCCCATCAATTATCTTCTCCCATCACTGAAAACTGCAGGTTTCTTTAGTAAGGAAAGAAACCAAGGATAAGTCGTCAGAGGGACTAAAGGACTCCGAAGAGACTACCCTATCCAGCCCCTTCATTTGACAGATGGAGAATCCGACACGTGGGTTAAAGGGACTTGTCTGAGGCCACACAGCTCATTGGAGTCGAGTGTTCTGCAAACCTTCAAGTGCTATATAAATAATCACGAATCGGTTATTTATCATTATTGGGACAACCTAGGGCTCCCGACTCCCAGTTCTATGCTTTTTCCAGGACATCATGTGCTTAGATAAGCCAACAAGAGTCAAATTTAAGCCAAAAAGCATCATCAAAATTGGATACAGCTAAAGCCATTCCCAATTACTACCTACCAAAAATGAGCTCCCGGGCACTGTGTGGAGATCCATTTCTTTTTGAGCACTGTAGCCTGCTGTTGGGTTGGAGAATACAAACTGAGTCACGACTTTGCTTCCTTCCTGGTGTCCAACAATGTCTGAGCCAGGAAGTAAGTCCTGTTCAGTTTTGAGTGACGTCAGGAGTCCAGGAACATTGTTCCCAGTGAGGCTGCTGGATGGAGTCAATGTGGCTGGCTCTATTGTTAAGTTATTGCTAGATGTCAGAGCAGGAAGATCTTGACCGGAGTTCTTCACAGACAGAGATGCCAGAGACCCCAGTGCTTCTGCATTGACAGTCTGGACATCATCCAAATTTAAAGTGCTTTGTTGTAAAACTGTGGCGGTCGTACCCAGCAACAGAGAGCTATCAAGACTGTGAGGCATGTCACTGCTGGCCACCAGTATCAATGGGTCCACAGCCTGCCCCAAGGAGTTATTATTATTATTAACAGAAAGGTTCCCCCCAAGAGTTGAGCTCACTGAAGCAACATCTATTGTCAAAATTCCAGAGTTCACTAATGCCATGTCTGTTGTAATTGCAGAATTGTTACCAGATACGTTAGAGAAGAGAGACACGAGGTCTATGTTGCTAAGATCGCTCTGTGCTGGGCTGGTAAGTTCACTGCTGGGTGTAAGAAAACTTGTAGCTTCAAGCTGGCTTAAGAGGTCTAAAAAGCAATGAAATAGCCATATGATTATTCTAAGTAAGACACTCGGTTATCCTAATGAAATTAACATATAATCTTCATTCCTTTCCAGCTATTATTTCCATAGAAACCTTCTGAAACTCATACTTACAGTTTGCTCTCATTTTTGTGCACATATGTTGATATGTAACCTATATGTAATCAAGTAATGGCTAACATTTATATAGTGCTTCAAAGTTTGGAAAATACTTTTACATAAACTTTATGTCCAAGAAGAGTGCCTAAATGATCTGTGATGCTCACCCCTACTGTTCATGTGCTCATCTGGTAGCCAATAAACTGTATCAGTCTAAATACAGAATATACACCCCACCACACCCTCCCCTAATCTGGTTTTCATATATAGGCTTGATTATAGCCCATAATCAATGTATTTTTTTTTCCTTTCAAAATACCCCATTTTGGTGATGCAGCTTACACTCAGTCAAAGCCCATATGCAGATAAATAGTGACTCAACATGGCAGTAGAGCCATTCCAACATCAGAATGATTGATCTGCCATGGGGATTCAATTCAGACCCAAATGGGGCAGGTGGTCTGCTCTAAAGTTTGCCTGAAACCCTCAAAGAAGAGACCTCAGCAGGCCCAACCTTTGTGGTCCTGGCCTGAAACTGAACCACACTGTGGAAGGATGAGCAGGGCATCATTTGTTCTTACATTGGCTACTGCCACCAGTCTCGTAAGGCTGTCACTCCCTGAACTACTTTCATCTGCTTCCTTACTGGTTTCCCAAGCTCCACGCTCACTCCCACACCTTTCTATTTAAACCTCTGAAGCTACCAGAGTCTAATATATGCCACCCCTAGCTCAAAAATCTTTTAAGGCTAACCCATGCCTACTGAATAGAATCCAACACTAGCTAAGGCCATCCCCAGGCTGGCTGTCTGGCCCCAGCCCACATTTCTGGCCGTAGCTCTGACTGACTCTCCTTTCAGACCTCCCGTACTTCAGATAAACTGGCTTTCCCACCTCTGCCACTATACTTGGCTTAAAGAGAAACTGACATTGCCCTATGTGACTACGCCTTCCTCTAGCTCACCTCTTCCTGTTTTTCACCCCTTCTGCACCTGTTCTTCACCTACATCAAGACCTCGATGCCCTCCTCCCTTCAGTATTTCCTCAGATTTCACTTTTGTCCCTCTACAATCTCAGCCTAACAGTTGGCCATTGCAATCCCACCCTGGCCTCTGCTCATGAGTCCTTCCTTGCCCTATCACCACACTTCTCGTGCCAAGCTTCCATCTTGGATTACTCCCACTACCCCCACCTCTCTGGTCTTACTCATTAGCCACTAAATGAAGCCCCACAGCTGGCTGGGCCACATTACAAGGTCATGTTATTCAACCTCAACGAGGCCCTCAAAGTAGCAAAGCAGTCCTCTCACTCCTCCCTATGGAGTCCCCAACCCACTCCTCAAATACATTATTCTAAAACTTCACTCCTCCTCAGGTCCTTCACCCCCTTCCTCCCCAACCGAAAAAGCAGAAACCATTCAATATAAGCTCCCTTTCCTCCCCTTCTCGTCATCATTTCTCACTCTCTTCTCCTTTCTACCAGTCTCTGAAAAAGAGGAAAAAAACCCTTGTTCTTCCCAAGGCCAACCCTTCTATGTGCCCATTTGATCCTATCCCCCCACTCTTCTCCAGGAGTATTCATTCACGGTCAGCTCCCCTCTCCAATCTACAGCTTCTCATTATCTACCGGTTCCTTCCCCACTGCTTTCAAACATTCCCAGGCCGTCCCTATCCTTAAAAAAGACTTTCACTTTTCCATCCCCTCAAAGTCATCATCGTATATCTCTCCTTCCTTTCTCAGTCAAACTTAGAAGCCTACAGGCACAACCTCTCATTCCTCTCCTCTTAATCACTCCTCAACCTCCTGCGACTGGACTTCCAGACCTCATCATTCAACAGAAACTGCTCTCTCCAAAGGCGCCCAACCCAAGAAGTCTTTCATCAGTCCTAATCCTCCTCAATCCATCTGCTGCATTTGAATAGGCTGACCACCCTTTACTCCTTGGATGTTCTCCCCTCTTCAGAGGGTTTTTGTTTTTTCGGTTTTTTTTAAAAACACCACTCCTTTTGGCTTTACCTTCTACCACTCCTTTTCAATTTCCTTTGCTGACTCACAAGAAGATTAAGATTGATTGTATCATTTTCTTACTGATCCTATTTACAGGAAATTGATTTCGGTCAGTAACTGCTTAAGTCATGGTTCTTTGTCTCTTTGTTCAGAGTTCAGCTGGGTTAAGTTTAAAAATCCTGTACTCTGAGTACAGAGCACTCAGCCCATGTCAGGCCTTATTTCAATGTTTGGGCCCAGTTTTGGGTGCCACACTCAGACACTTCTGTTCCTGTAGATTAAGACTACATTAACTTTTTTGACTTATAACAGCTTATAGTTCATTAAATGCCCAAGATCTTTATCATGAATTTCTTTCTTGCTTTATGTCATCTGCAGTCTACTCTTCATCCAAGTCACTGAGAAAAATATGGGAAGAGAATAAAGGACTTTGAAAAGAATGCCCTGGGTCAGCGGTGGGGAACCTGTAGCCTCGAAGCCACATGTGGCCCTCTAGGTCCTCAAGTGCAGCCCTTTGACTGAATCCAAACTTCACAGAACACATCCATTTATTCTGTGATTTAGTCTGTGAAGTTTGGACTCAGACAAAGGGCTGCACTTGAGGACCTGAGAGTCACATATGGCTTCGAGGCAGCAGGGGTCTGCCTGTGCATTCTACATATGTTTTCTATCAGAATAGACACAGACCTATAAATCATTATTCTTTCAAGCCAATTGGTCAAGCATTTCTGAGCTCAATTAACAATTCACAGCTTATCCACAAAGATATCACTAGAAAAGGGAGACAACTTTGAATCCAGAGTTTGACCCAGGGCAAACCACTTAAACCTCTCATTGCCCCAAGCTAAGGGAAGAGTCCTCTGGTCAGGAGTTCCCTTGACCAGCACTTTTTAAACTGTGGGTACTGGCCCCATATCGAATAACTGAAGGGGGGGGGTGAAGAGCGGGGCTGTTGGCAGTAAAAAAGTTTCTGAACACTTTGCAAACCTTAAAGCACTACATAAAAGGTACCCTTATTACTAACTAACCGAAGCATTTCTGGCTGAGCCCAAGCCAACACTTCTGGCAAGAATTCCCCTCTAAACACACTGGCTCTTCATGCAGTTCCTCTGCCTACCTTAAAAGCCTGTAAACAACTGCTTAAAAAGAAGTGGACTTGGTCTGCTTTTTATTCTGTGGCTGTCCTGGTACAGCATTCCCTTTTCCCCCCGGGCCAAAGCAGCCTGAGGTAGGGGTTGTCCAATGAGAGGAGGACGATTAGTTTTAAAGGTATATTATAACCAACGATCTGTTTCTGTTATAATCAGAAGAACTGAAAGAACACTGAAAAAAAGGGAACTGTCTCATCTTGACAACCTTTTCCCACTGGGAGGATACCCTCTATTCTAACTTTCTCAATGAAACCACTGGAAGGAAAGCAGGTTTTCAAGTGATAATCTTTTATGTTATGACTTTTGTATATAAATTAAACCCCCAATTTATATAACCAATATTTACAACAGAACAAAGTAGAGCTAAGTTAAACAGTTACCTATTCCCAACAGGAGGTACTGATTGCTGATAGAGACTTTCTCAGTTTTCACCAGCTTTTGCATTTCAGAGTAAACAAGAACTGTTTTTGTTAACCAGTTATACTTAAGACAAGCAATTCCTAAAATTAGGGCCAGACCTTTCATATTCTAAAGAAAGTAGCTATCCTTATCACCATCTCTATCACCTCCATTCCAGAAAACGTAAATTATGTGTAAATGATCACTTGATTATTTGTAATTGGCCCACAAAGTTATTTTATCTAGCCGGCAAAGAGACTGGCTATTCCTCCCTTCCAGATTCCTAAAGACAGACTGATGGAGTAGGGAGTTGGATAGATATGGACTTTCACTTGCTGAAGCCAACATACTCAGCACACCCTAGCTTTCTTCCTATCTCTCTCTAAGTGTTACCTTGTTTCCACTCTACCCAGCCCCAGTCTGGCCTGGACAGCTCATTGGAAAACCTAGTTATTTTTGAAACGGCTTTTCAACTGCACAGAAATCTTGACCCAAAGGACCCACCCCTCCAGGCTAGACACAGCTGCCCTGTCAGAGGTGGAGGTGAGAGAAGGACAGTACCTGAACTAAAGTGATGCTGTTTGGCCATGTGAGACTTCATGCTGTGCTTGGAGGTGAACAGCTTACTGCAGCTGGACACCGGGCAGCGGCTTCTCAGAGCGTCCACATCCTGAAGGTGCTTCTTTGAGTGGATGTACAGACTGCTTCTTGCAGAGAAGCGAGCACAGCAACCTGGAACAAAAGCTAGTCAACCATCACTTAGGAAGTGTCTATGTTGGAGAATGAAGAGCATTAAGCTCCGGGACACAGAGACTAAACAACTTCTGCCCTCAAGAGGCTTACTATTCATGGAGGGGAAAGAACACCTATGTCTATGTTCTCTCTCTCTCTCTCTGTCACACACACACAGACACACACACACATAGAGTAGATGGCTGCCACTGAGACCAGAGACCATCCCCTGGACCCCTCACCGTACCAACTACCTCACGTGGCCCACTACACAGAAGCCAGCTCCAGTAATGCTCAATCTCCTCCCTAGCCATCTGGACATCTTCCTCGGCCCTCCTACCCTTTCCAATTCTGGATCCATAATCAAATCAACACTGTCAATGCTGCTGGAAAAGGTGTGTTAATCTATTCCTTTCAAGTTCCACTCACCAACCCTGTAACCTCACATACAAAAACACCCTTCCCTGTCCACCACTCCCTTATATATATTATCTCTTCCTACTACAGAGTAAGCTCCAGGAGGGCAGGAGGGCCGCTCCAAAGAAGAGCTGGCTTTGAAGGAACAAAAGGATTTCATGGAGGAAGTAAGGAAGGAGAGTAGGGATGGTTTGTGCAAGTTCCAAGAGTAGCTCTTGTCCAGCCTGGTTGGACTCTAGTCTGTGAACGGCAGTAATGCCAGGCAGGGCTGAAAGACAGGCTAACACTGGACGGTGGGGGCCTTTACATGCTGAGCTGAGGAATTTGTAATTTGTCACGGAAACAACATAGAGACAGGCACTTATCATTTCTTCTGCTAAAGACTCTTAAGTGGCCACCCATTTCAAATTCCTGTTTGGCATTTAAAGCCCTTCAAAATCTGGCTCTATGCTCACGTTCCAGACTTACTCCCCATTCCTTCAAACTGGGTCTCCAGGAGATTCCACCTCAGTGCCTGTGTGCACATGAGCCATCTCTGCTGGCGACAATGCTCTCTCTCCTCCCCTCAGCTTCTTGGAATCGTCCTTGGAATCTAAAACTCAGCTCAAGTGACACCTGTAGTTGGGCCTCACTGTCCGCCTGCCACAATGACTTTGCATTTACTTTGTATATAAATTCCTAAATATAGATTCCCACCCCCTGCCCCACCCCCCCAATTCTGTGAGGGCAGGAAATGCTTCATTTTTGTTTTTGTAGTTGAAGGGCCTAGCTCAACGCCCTGCATGGAGGAGGAGGTGCTTTCAACAATGCTTGGTGAACCGAGTAAGTAAAATGTTAATCACTGCTAATAAAAACTGTTTAACACAAATTCTGGCTCAAATATAACTTTTTGATGGACAGGCACAACTAAAGGAAGTACAGTACTCATTAATGAATATTCCAAATTCATACAACTCAAATGACCTTTTAAAGCAAATGACTGTCTAAGAACTAAAGGTATTAACTATACAACTCTCAAGTAGCACTTAGATTAGGAAAAAAAATAAAAATAAAAAGTAAATTCTACCTTCTACTGGACACTCGAATGGCTTTGTGCCCAAGTGGGTCACACTATGGCCTTTCAAATGTTCTGCTCTTGTAAATGATTTACCACAGCCTTCAACAGGACATGTAAACCTCCGGTCATCTTCATGTTTCCTACCCAAAAGAGGTATTGAAGAGAAGATTGATTTTAGTAACTGAGCCCCAAACCTTGTCCTAACTAATTCAATTTGCTAATGACATATTTCTTTTTAAACAAATTATTTGCCTTCAAAATTCTAACAATCACAGTATGTGGTGGTTAATATCATTGCAGGGAAGGAGGGGAAAGAAGAAAAAGTACATACCTGTTTAACTGGAAAAATAAATGTTACTCCCACATTGGTTTATCTAAGTAGGCCTGAGATTCAGTTACACTCTCACTAGAAAATTCAGCCTAATTAATCAAGCCAGTTGTGTAATGAGTCTCTTTAGGAAAGTTAAGTAGTGCTTAAATCCAAGAGTAGGTGGGTAGCTACTTCCCAGACTGGTTCACTACACTCCTCACAGTTTTAAAAAGAAGCAGACTAGACAAAGGGACCACTCTGTAAGTGGCCAGGTCCAAGAGATCCAAGTCTTTGCTCGTCACACGTCAGTCCTACTCAGAGTTCTGAACATACTCTAAAGCATCAGAATTACCTTTTGTGCCTCAGAAGCTTAGACATGCTGGTGAAGGACCAGCCACAACCATCTGAATCACAGATGAAAGGCCTTTCACCTGAAAGAAAAGTCACAAGCTGGAATTACAAATGGCTCCTCTCCAATATACCAACACACTACTACTCTCACGGCATGGTAGGGGCACAGTGGGAGCGTCTGAAACACAACAAACCTGTATGACTCCTCAGATGGATCTTCAGGCGACAGGCTTTATCATACTGCTTATTGCATCCAGGAAAGGAGCAGGAAAACAGTTCTTGTTCTCTGAAGTGGGCTCGATTATGGGAAAATAAAGCACTTACTGTGATAAACGTCTTCTCACAACCTAAAGAGAAAAAGAAGCAAAGCAGATTAATAACAGTATCCTCCAACTCAGCCTCCTTTGTGTGTACACAAAGGTCAAAATCTACATCTCATACCTGTTTACAAAAAAACAACCAAAAAACCAACACCTCCCCCCACCAAAAAAACCCTTTATTTATATGCAACCATCTTTAGTATGAACACTGACTTGGCAATCTAGAGCCCTGGGTTCTAGCCTAAGGTCTGCCATTAACTAGTTAATCATGTGATGCTGAGAAAGTCACTTCTTTTCCTATCCCTCTACTTACTGATCTGTAAAATCGAACTGAACAAACTAATGATAGCAGGGCAGGCAAAGTGTGACAGAAAATCTGTGGGGTATGTAGCACAGATTTCATATCCATTTCACAAAGGAGATAAGTGAGACAGAGGTCACCTAGGAAGTGTCAAAGCATCTCCACGCCCTGGAGATTGGCAGCCATTTATGGCTGTGCGATCTGTCTTGGTTAATCTGTGGCCCATCCAAGGCAGGAAAGACTTTCTTTTGGGATCTTAGGGGATCAGTCATTATCCTAGATCAAAGGAGCAGAGGGGTAGGGGATAAAAATTTCAACCCTAGAAGTAGCCACAATAATGTCGTGGGTTTTGTGAAATGCATGGTACACTAATAAATGTAAGCTGCACACAAATAATATACTTGTAACCCTCACAAATGTGGATGCCTGAGTTCAGCTGATGCCACCTGAAATCACTAAAAGAATGACCCGGTTCACTTCAATTATCTATGTACCTTCTTTATCTGTAAAATGGTGATACTGCCATCTGCTCCATAAGATTGAAAATAACTGCACCAAGAAAGGCACGATTACAGAGATGGCTGAGACTCTTCAGAGATCCACTAAGGTGGATGTTCAAATTATGTTTCTCTAATATGAAGAATTCACACATTCTCAGTGGCCAGAGTCAAAGTTTACACACCCTTTTAAATACTTAGGTTTGGATCCTGTCTAACATTACAAATGATTTCTCTTTCTACTTAGAAATGCAGTTGTTATCTGCTTACTGTACTATAGCCTTGGGAAGGGGGTGGGGTCAGATAATCCAGGTGCTAAGTGTTCTGTAAAATCTGCTAAGTATAGCTTTTGAGCTTTTCATTCCATCCCTGTGTGGCCTGGTTAGTTTTGATGAGAGGCAGTTTGGTGCACTGGACAGAGACTGGCTGTCCTGGCACTGGAGGAAATCAGTTCAAATCTCACAAGGTATGTGACCATAGAGAACTCATTTAACCTCGGAGGTTGAGCATCCTCCTCATCTGTAAGATGAGAACAGAACCTGTATTTCCCAAAGATATCATCTCAAACAAACCAATCCTTAGAGTACTCTGTGAGGGTTGGTTATTAGTATGATTTGGGTTTGGGGGACACCTCTGACCCACTTTTCCACCTATGTTGGAAAATCCCTCATTTTACAAATGAGGGAACAAAGGCGCAGGGAAGGTAATTTAGCAGACTCAGAATTAGAATACAGATCCCGACTCCACTTTTAAATTCTTTCCACTACACGGCTTGTGCTTGTGTTTTCTTTCTCTTTCTCTTTCTCTCTTTCTCTCTCTCTCTCTCTCTCTCTCTCTCTCTCTCTCTCTCTCTCTCTCCCCTCTCTCTCTCTCTCTCTCTCCCTTCCCTTCTCTCCTCTTCCTCCTTTCTCCTCCTCCTCTCTCTCTCTCCCCCTCCCTCTCTCTCATATAAACTGGACCTGTAATTCCAGACACTCCTAGAGGAAAAAAATCCTGTCTGCCAACGAAGGGCAGCCTAGAACACTCATCTTGGCCCTGAGTCACACAAATGATATGGGCCAGGTGGGACCAGAAGCCAGGCCTTCCCTGCTCCTGGGCCAGCACTATGGCAACCCCCTGCACCCTGATGCCTCTCCCAATGACTCATATGGATATTGCACCTCAGCACATACAAAGCCCTTCCCCACTACTCATAAGGTATTATCCCCACTTTAAAGATGAAACAGAGGCTCAGGGACATGAAATGACCTGTTCAATGCTGGTGAGGGGCCGAGAAGGCAAACCCCCACCTTCTGATTCCAAGTTCAATGTACAAAATGGTTTGTGAAACAAACTATACTCCCTATTAAGCCCTCAGATGCCAACGCTCACTGGCAAACCTAACTAGGAAAGCTGAGACCATGGTACTTTAGAAATGGCCTCCCATATACCAGATTATGGTGAGAATTTGGTTTTCAGTTTTTGTTGTTGTAGGCATTCAATGGGGAAGGGGGCGAGTAGAAAGAGAAATTATAAATTCATATAAAAATAGTTTTGAAAGAAAAAAGAAATTTTAAATGGCTTCTAACACTTTCACACAGTTGATGTAAATCTAATGTAGGAGCTCCCCTAATATTTCTGCAATCAATACAGCTTCCAAAATGATACAGTATGATTTTTCTGCAAATATTCTTCAGGTTCTTGAAGAAAAGCTGATCTAAACCCACTACACAGTGTGTGGGAATACTCAAAATAACTCTGGTCTAATTGCTAACTCCTATCCAAAAAAGGGAAGGATCCCAATAATCTCCAGGCATGTTCTTCCTCATTCATTTGTAAGATTTCCTAAGACGTTTTCCCGCACTCGTAGGAGTATTTCACAATTTAAGGGTGCCGGGGGTTTGCCAGAACAATGTCATGTAAAATTCTATCAGAAGTCAAAGCCTTCCAAGGGGACTGGGCATCGAAAATGTTGGAGTGGACTCCAAGAGCCCTGCTCTAGAACGAGCTCAGCCACCAGGTGTGATCTCAGGAGGCTCCCAGCTCTTCTCTGGTCTAGATGACACCTGACTGGAGAGACTGGGCCTGAGGGCCCGGCACCTTCTCTGCAACTGACCCTGAAACTGCCTCTTCAAATCCTGCCCCTTCCCATGGGACATCGGGGGCGCTTCCGACCGGCTCCTTACCGCCCCAAACAGCCGCCATCGGACACGGAGCTGGGGGCTGGAGGCGCTGACCCCTCCCTCCCCACCCAGGAGGCAGGCGCTGACCTCTCCCCCCCCCTCCCCACCCCGGGGGCCGGGCCCGGGTCGTTACCGGGGAACTCGCACTTGTAGGGCCTCTCGGGCTCGAAGTGGCTGCGCTGGTGCGCGGCCAGCTTGGCGTGCGTGGGGAAGCGCTCGGCGCACACCTCGCACTTGAACGTGTTCTCCTGCTCGTGGCCCTTCATGTGCGCCTTGAGGTTGTAGACCGTGGTGAACCTCTTGCCGCAGCCGCCCGCGGGGCAGCTGAAGGGCCGCAGCTTGTCGTGCGACTGCAGGTGCCGCTTGAGCTTGTAGGACGTGGTGAAGGACCAGCCGCAGCCGTCCAGCGGGCACTTGAAAGGCCGCTGGCCCTGCGTGTTGCTGTGCGACAGCAGGTGCAGCTTCAGCTGGTGCTTCTTGGGGAAGGTCTGCGAGCAGTCGGGCTCGGGGCAATGGTAGACCAGCACGACGCCCGCGCCTCCGCCACCCGGCCCGCCCGCGCCGCCGCTCTCGGCTCCCGGGGGCGGCTGCGGCTGCCGCTGCGGCGGCGGCGGCAGCGCGGGGCCCTTGGCCGCGGGCTCGGCCAGCAGGAAGCTGGCCACGGGGTCGGCCAGGCCCAGGTCGGCCGGC